GCTGAGATCCTGGTTGAATACAGCGGAGGTGTAAGGGGTTAAGGGGGTTAGCCATCAGTGACAGATTTGACGAGCGACTGACAGAGTTGACAACAAATACTTAAAACAGACATATTTTATCCTCTAAAAATAAAAGTTCAATACAAACATTAGGAAAATATGAAATATGATTCGTTTGAAAATCCCCAATATAAACATAACGATTCTATCAGATCATCCAGGACTCTGACGGAGCAGCAATTTTGTTTTTCCTCAGTTGCTTTATGACTCTAAAATGTAATTAAAATAAACATATTTGAACCTAAATTCATATTCTATCTATCAGATAGATGGAGTTGACAGTTTATGGTTGTGACCATGGTGATTTCAATATACAGTGCGTTCGGAAAGTATTCAGATCCCTTGACTTTTTCCACATTTTGTTACAGCTTTATTCTAAAATTGATTAAATTCATATTTTTCCTCATCAATCTACACAAAATACCCCATAATGTATTGAAAAAAATAAAATAAAAAAACTTTATTTACATAAGTATTCAGACCCTTTGCTATGAGACTCGAAATTGAGCTCAGGTGCATCCTGTTTCCATTGATCATCCTTGATATGTTCCTACAACTTGATTGGAGTCCACCTGTGGTAAATTCAATTGATTGGACATTATTTGAAAAGGCACACACCTGTCTATATAAGGTCCCACAGTTGGCAGTGCATGTCAGAACAAAAACCAAGCCATGAGGTCGAAGGAATTGTCCATAGAGCTCTGAGACAGGATTGTGTTGAGGCACAGATCTGGGGAAGGATACCAAAAAATGTCTGCAGCATTGAAGGTCCCCAAGAACACAGTGGCCTCCATCATTCTTAAATGGAAGAAGTTTGGAACCACCAAGACTCTTCCTAGAGCTGGCTGCCCGGCCAAACTGAGCAATCGGGGGAGAAGGGCCTTGCTCAGGGAGGTGACCAAGAACCCGATGGACACTCTAACAGAGCTCCAGAGTTTCTCTGTGGAGATGGGAGAACCTTCCAGAAGGACAAGCATCTCTGCAGCACTCCACCAATCAGGTCTTTATGGTAGAGTGGCCAGACGGAAGCCACTCCTCAGTAAAATACACATGACAGCCCGCTTGGAGATTGCCAAAAGGACACTCGGACCATGAGAAACAAGATTCTCTGGTCTGATGAAATCAAGATTGAACTCTTTGGCCTAAATGTCAAGCATCACGTCTGGAGGAAACCTGGCACCATCCCTTTGGTGAAGCATGGTGGTGGCAGCATCAGGCTGTGGGGATGTTTTTCAGCAGCAGGGACTGGGAGACTAGGCAGGATCGAGGGAAAGATGAACGGAGCAAAGTACAGAGAGTTCCTTGATGAAAACCTGCTCCAGAGCGCTCAGGACCTCAGACTGGGTTGAAGGTTCACCTTCCAACAGGACAACGACCCTAAGTACACAGCCAAGACAACGCAGGAGTGGCTTCGGGGCCAGTCTCTGAATGTCCTTTAGACCTGAACATAGCTGTGCAGCGACGCTCCCTATCCAAACTGACAGAGCTTGAGAGGATCTGCACAGCAGAATGGGAGAAACTCCCCAAATACAGGTGTGCCAAGCTTGTAGCATCATACCCAAAGACTTGAGGCTGTAATCGCTGCCAAAGGTGCTTCAACAAAGTACTGAGTATAGGGTCTGAATACTAGTTTTTAATTTTTCATAGATTTGCAAAATGTTCTGAAAACCTCTTTTTGCTTTGTCATTATGGGGTATCGTGTGTAGATTGATGAGGGGAAAAACAATGTAATCAATTTTTGAATAAGGCTGTAACGGAACAAAATGTGGAAAAAGTCAAGGGGTCTGAATACTTTCTGAGTGCACTGTAGTTTGTTTAAATCTATCAAAAGTAGAGCTTTCCAGACATGAGTAGTCTTGTTGCACTACATGTAATGAGTACATGAATAAGGGGTCCTTATGGTTTAGCTGACCCTGTTCATTCCTGATTAATTCAGGATTTTTTACAAATCTGACAGAATTGACCAAATCTCCGGACAAATTTTTTATGAATCCGTTTTTAGATAAATATTCTTCAGTTCATATTCATTATATAACTTTTTTGAGAGTTAGAAATGTGCTCAGGACAAGGGCATTTCCGTCCGACATAGACATTTATACAATTCCCCCCCCCAAAAAAAAAATCCCCTAAATGTAATTTTTAAGCTCAAATAATGCAACGAAATCAAAAAAAAAAAATCTAAACTATAAAAATAAAGTTTCCCTGCCGGACCAGGATTGTCCTGACTTTCAAGAATCCAATATATATGGCACTATGCTGTATTCAGTGATGTGGAGTAGTGAACTAGTAATTAAACTACATGTTGTATTAGTTTGGTTGTAGTTGAACTAAATTCAAATCTTGGTAGTGTTTTCAGTGGTTTATAACTTTTTTGCCATGTAGTGGTGTAGCTAACTATTGGAACTGCACACTACTCACTGGGCAAAAACTGGTTGAAACCCGTGTACCGGCTTTATGTACAAGCCGGTACACTGGGGACATGATCTATTACCAGGAATGCACATAAAGCCTAGATGACAGTGCAGATCCTACTATCGGCTGCCTAGGCTAGCATCAGTCCTGCCTAATTCTCACTTGAAACATCGTTTTTGTGTTGAATAGGCAAAATTTCATATTCTGACTCCAGAGTGATCTTTCTTGCAATTTGTAATTACATTTTAGTCATTTAGCAGACGCTCTTATCCAGAGCTACTTACAGTTAGTGAGTGCATACATTCTTTTTATTTTTTTCATACTGGCCCCCCGTGGGAAACGAACCCACAACCCTGGCGTTGCAAACGCCATGTTCTACCAACTGAGCTACATCCCTGCCGGCCATTTCCTCCCCTACTCTGGACGACGCTGGGCCAATTGTGCGCCGCCCCATGGGTCTCCCGGTCGCGGCCGCGTACGACAGAGCCTGGATTCGAACCAGAATATCTGTGTGGCGCAGCCTTAGACCACTGCGCCACACAGGTTTTAATCTACGGTAGGCCTATTTCAGATTTAGATATGATAATTTTTCACGAAGTAGTTTGGATGTAGTGAACTACTTTTTCAAAGTAACTTTAGTTAATGAACTATATTTTTCTTAAGGGTAGCTTTGGTGTAGCTTAATTTCTTCCAGTGTGAAGTAACATGGTAGCTTGGCCCTATATTTTCAAAGTAGCTTCCCCAACACTGGCTGTATTAATACACATAGTATTAATAGTGTAATGTCACGAAAGAAAGCATTATTCAATACAATAAGGTCAACCCATACCTCTACTATTCTGTCCCAGATTTTGATGAAAGCAAATTTGCAAGCCAAGGGCATTATCATTTTACCACACGTCGTTGCCCTTGGGACCGTGGCGATTGCCTAGGAGACGAGCATCGAGCAGCCGCCCCATAGACATCTGCGCCCCTAATGTCACTCCCATAGAAATGGTCACTCCATTACCCCAGGGGAGAATGTCACTCCCATAGAAATAGAAATGGTCACTCCATTACCCCAGGGGACAATCATGCATAACGGACAGCTGGTCGTAACTGGTGATGAGACATACAATATAAAAATGTATAAGGGATAATCAACGAGGGACTATGCGTTCAATGGAAAATAATGCTAATGCCGTGAAAGATGTGTTCCATGACGCTATAGCTGAGTTGAAATGACCTTCCAAGGAGTTGCGTTATTTTCCAGAGAAAGCATTGAGCCCCGAGTTGATTATCCCATTCATAGCATGGCTATAATTCAACACATTTGCCACTAGAAATGTGTTCATTAATTTGCCAGTAGAAATTTGTTCAACATTCACTGAAGTAGCTAGCAAGTTTACTAGATAGCTACAATAGTTGCTGTGGTAACCAAACAAACAGACTTGCTAGTTTAGCTAACCAAACTATCAGTCCTAGCTTGCTATGATGAAAATCGAATTCAACAATGTACATGTAAGTATGAACTATAGCCACATTCTACCGTGCCGATATACCTTTTGTTATTTAAGCAATAAGGCCCGAGGTGTGGTATATGGCCAATATACCAGGCTAAGTGCTGTTCTTATGCACTATGCAATGTGGAGTGCCTGGATACAGCCCTTAGCAGTGGTATATCACAACCCCCCGAGGTGCCTTATTGCTATTATAAACGGGTTACCAACGTAATTAGGGCAGTAAAAATACATGTTTGTCATACCAGTGGTATATGGTCTGATATACCATGGCTGTCAGCCAATCAGCATTCAGGGCTCGAACCACACAATAATAATAATAATATGCCATTTAGCAGATGCTTTTATCCAAAGGAGTGCATACATTTATTATTTTGTTTGTGTATGGGGTGGTCCCGGGGATCGAACCGTTACAAGCGCCATGCTCTACCAGCTGAGCTACAGAGGACCACACACAGTTTAAAAAGGGAAATAATGCACACTCTAGAATGCCCTTCAAGCCAATAAGAAACTAGTATTCAACAATGCCATGGTTTAATTTTACTTATTTCCCCACTATGTTATTTTACATACATCATTCGACAGTAGCACAACAGGAACTACCCGCCCTAGATGAGGAGACGGAGGAAGAGAGGAAACCGCCTGCCTATTGAAACGCTACCGTCGCTCAACTCTCTGATTGGAGGAAAAAGATCATCGTAGGCGGAAGAAGGCGTCACATCTTCTCCATCAGGGCGGGTTGTCACTAGTTACCACAGCCACAAAGTAAACTTTGGCTATATTGTAAAAATACATGAAAATAAAACATTGCTTTTTGTTCTTAATGTAAGGTTAGGGTTAGGCATAAGGTTAGCAGTGCGGTTAAGGTTATGGTTACGTTTAGGGTTCGATTTTAAATCAGATTTCAAGAAGATACATTTTAGAAATAGGCGGGGCTTAAACATAATTCCAATTTTGTGGCTATGGCAACTACTGACGACCGTCAGGGCGGGAAATCTACCACACATATCAACAGCTAACACATTCCGAATGTCAACGCATTTTATCTAGCTACAGATAACAAATTATTTAAAACGGTGTAAGTTAACTGTAAAGTCTGGTTTCAATCAACTTTGGGTAAGTTCATTCTTATTACTAAAGCTATATAGCTAGCTACTGAGCACTGTTGCTACTTGCTAACTGTTCTGGGAGCTAGCTAACTGGTGGTTGTTATTGTTTAGCCAGCTAGCTAGCTTGTCAAAGAAAGAGGTGAACGTCACCCTCTTTTTGACACTCAAAACAGTCAAGTATGGCTCAGTGACTAATGGGTAGTGGTCTGTTTTCTAAATACTATTTTCCAGGGAGAGCCATGCAGGCGTTTTTGAAAGGAACATCAACTCAAGGCATCAGACCTCTGAAAGAGAAAGGTACCAGTGGAGAGAAGAAGCAGAAGTCTGTCCCCTGGGTAGAGAAATAGTAAGTAAAATTTCTCAGTGGCAGTAATATAATCCCTTGTGAATCTTCATTCATAGAATGTAAATGCGGACACACAAAGAACAGAAATGCTATTCGGTAGCTGCAGGCAAATATCTTGGTGATAATTAAAGTGGCTTAATATGTTTAGTCAGAAAGAAAATCCTGCATTCATTTGATCAACTACACTGAAAACCATTGTTTGGCTGTTTACAGTAGACCAAAATGTATGGAAGAGGTGGCATTTCAAGAGGAGGTGGTTGCTGTGCTGAAGAAGACTATAGAGGGTGCTGATGTAAGTAGCCTCTTCAATTCCATGAGAGTAGTGACTTCTCATATGTTTAGGGTAAATGCTGTCTGCCTGGGGTTCTGTTTGAATATTACATGATTTCTGTTGCAGCTCCCCAATCTGCTGTTCTATGGACCACCTGGAACAGGAAAGACCTCCACCATCCTGGCTGCAGCCAGGGAACTGTATGGGTGAGAGTGACTCACCAGCTTTCCAGATTACTGCATTCCAACTCCCAATTGATGCAGATCTGTGTTCGTGGGTTTCAGTGCTTGTGTACACCACAGTCAGTGTTCCGTTTCCGTTCCTTTCCACAGGCCAGAGCTGTACCGACAGAGAGTGCTGGAGCTGAACGCCTCTGATGAGAGAGGGATTCAGGTGGTGAGAGAGAAAGTCAAGAGATTTGCCCAGCTGACTGTAGCAGGCCACCGCACTGAGCAAGTAGCAGTTTCCTTAACCTTCATTACATTCACATACCCCCCCAAACACACACATAGCAAGCTCAATCTAAACAACAAATCAGATCATATAATACATGTACTTTCCTTACCCCCTATAACAGTCAGCATATTGTTAATGTTAAATTAGGATATTAAAGCCTCTTTCCATTCCTTACCTCTGACAGTGGGAAACAATGCCCACCCTTTAAGATCATCATCCTGGATGAGGCTGACTCAATGACCAATGCTGCTCAGGCTGCTCTCAGACGCACCATGGAGAAGGAGTCCCGGACCACCCGCTTCTGTCTCATCTGCAACTACGTCAGCAGGTCAATTGGGCTTCGTATTCCAAGAGGCACTCTAGAATATGAAATCTATTTTTTGTTTATTTTGCATAACATTAAACTCTTTGAGACACTTTACAACATGCTGTAATAAATGTTACATCTGTAGCTAAACCAACTTAAATTGACTGTGATTTTATTTTCAGGATTATTGAGCCCTTGACATCCAGATGCTCCAAATTCCGCTTCAAACCTCTAGCCAATCAGGTCCAAGAAGAGCGCCTGCTGGAAATCTGTGACAAGGAGAATCTCAAGTACTCAAATGAGGTAATGATTGCAAACTGGCAACTGTACACACTGTATCATCATCATTTTACTTAAATGAATCATCTTCCAATTATCCTTAAATTCCATTTTCCTGCAGGGAATTGCAGCGTTGGTGAAGGTTTCAGAAGGGGATCTTAGAAAAGCCATAACCTTTCTTCAAAGTGCTGCACGGCTGAACACAGATAATGAGATCACAGAGAGTGCGGTCATAGAGATAGCAGGGGTGAGTGCTTTTACTAACTCAGCAAAAAAAGAAACGTCCTTTTTTCAGTACCCTGTCTTTCAAAGATAATTCGTAAAAATCTAAATAACTTCACATTGTAAAGGGTTTAAGCACTGTCCCATGCTTGTTCAATGCACCATAAACAATGAATGAACATGCACCTGTGGAACGGTCGTTAAGACACTAACAGCTTACAGACGGTAGGCAATTAAGGTCACAGTTATGAAAACTTAGGACACTAAAGAGGACTTTCTACTGACTCTGAAAAACACCAAAAGAAAGATGCACAGGGTCCCTGCTCATCTGCGTGAACGTGCCTTAGGCATGCTGCAAGGAGCCATGAGGACTGCAGATGTGGCCAGGGAAATAAATTACAATGTCCGTACTGTGAGACACCTAAGACCGCGCTACAGGGAGACAGGACGGACAGCTGATCGTCCTCGCAGTGGCAGACCACGTGTAACAACACCTGCACAGGATCGGTACATCTGAACATCACACCTGCGGGACAGGTACAGGATGGCAACAACAACTGCCCGAGTTACACCAGGAACGCACAATCCCTCCATCAGTGCTCAGACTGTCCGCAATAGGCTGAGAGAGGCTGGACTGAGGCAACAACGTCGCCTATGGGCACAAACCCACCGTCGCTGGACCAGACAGGACTGGAAAAAAGTGCTCTTCACTGACGAGTCGCAGTTTTGTCTCACCAGGGGTGATGGTCGGATTCGTGTTTATCGTCGAAGGAATGAGCGTTACACCGAGGCCTGTACTCTGGAGCGGGATCGATTTGGAGGTGGAGGGTCCGTCATGGTCTGGGGCGTTGTGTCACAGCATCATCGGACTGAGCTTGTTGTCATTGCTGGCAATCTCAACGCTGTGCGTTACAGGGAAGACATCCTCCTCCCTCATGTGGTACCCTTCCTGCAGGCTCATCCTGACATGACCCTCCAGCATGACAATGCCACCAGCCATACTGCTAATTCTGTGCGTGATTTCCTGCAAGACAGGAATGTCAGTGTTCTGCCATGGCCAGTTTAGAGCCCAGATCTCAATCCCATTGAGCACGTCTGGGACCTGTTGGATCGGAGGGTGAGGGCTAGGGCCATTCCCCCCAGAAATGTCCAGGAACTTGCAGGTGCCTTGGTGAAAGAGTGGGGTAACATCTCACAGCAAGAACTGGCAAATCTGGTGCAATCCATGAGGAGGAGATGCACTGCAGTACTTAATGCAACTGGTGGCCAAACCAGATACTGTTACTTTTGATTTTGCCCCCCCCCCCTTTGTTCAGGGACACATTATTCAATTTCTGTTAGTCACATGTCTGTGGAACTTGTTCAGTTTATGTATCAGGTGTTGAATCTTATGTTCATACAAATATTTACACGTTAAGTTTGCTTTCAATAAATGCAGTTGACAGTGAGAGGACGTTTCTTTTTTTGCTGAGTTTATATTTCACTCAACATCAGTAATAGTTGCCTTTTTTATGCACTGTGCAGTCTAGTCAAAAGAGAGGTATCCAACTTTGCTGACACCTATGCTCACTTTCCTCTTTAAGGTTGTTCCTCCCAAGATGATTGACAATTTGCTCAAAATCTGTTACAAGGGCACATTTGAAAAACTAGAGATTGCTGTTCGGGTATGTACATTCACTTTATATTGCTGCTTCATTACATAGGGATCGAAAATCTCACTCCATGGCACTTTTAATGTAGCAGCTTTCTATCAGACTAATCACCAGGCCATTCTGCCACTTACAGAACATGGTAGATGAGGGCTATGCTGCCACACAGATCATCAACCAGCTACACGAAGCCATCATAGAGGAAGAGCTGAATGACAAGCAGAAGTCTGCCATCACGGAAAAGATGGCAGTATGTGTTTCAAAATGGCTTAACTTGCATCAATGTGACAATCTTGTCATTACAACGTTATTGAAAAAATATCTACAGTAGTAGTGACATTGATTTGTCTCCCTCTTTTTCAGGTGGTTGACAAGTGTTTAGTGGATGGTGCAGATGAGTACCTGCAGATGCTGAGTCTGTGTTCTGTGATCATGCAGCAAGCCACCCTGAGTAACTGACCCCACAACCTCACCTCATGGACCATTCCTCTTCATATACATCTGGACCAACTGCTTTTTCTACACATTTTTGTAGGCTGACTCCATTAAAATGTTAATTGTTTCCTGTAAACACTGTCTGTCAATCAGTGCTGTTCAAGTCATACTTCAGGGGTCAGTTTTATAGAACATTTGTTTTTATATTTATCATCTGGGCTTTGAGTCAGTTAGGAAACAAACAAGTAACCATATATTTTTGTATATACACTGCTCAAAAAAATAAATGGAACACTTAAACAACACAATGTAACTCCAAGTCAATCACACAATCAAACTGTCCACTTAGGAAGCAACACTGATTGACAATACATTTCACATGCTGTTGTGCAAATGGAATAGACAACAGGTGGAAATTATAGGCAATTAGCAAGACACCCCCAATAAAGGAGTGGTTCTGCAGGTGGTGACCACAGACCACTTCTCAGTTCCTATGCTTCCTGGCTGATGTTTTGGTCACTTTTGAATGCTGGCGGTGCTTTCACTCTAGTGGTAGCATGAGACAGAGTCTACAACCCACACAAGTGGCTCAGGTAGTGCAGCTCATCCAGGATGGCACATCAATGCGAGCTGTGTCTGTCAGCGTAGTGTCCAGAGCATGGAGGCGCTACCATTAGACAGGCCAGTACATCAGGAGACGTGGAGGAGGCCGTAGGAGGGCAACAACCCAGCAGCAGGACCGCTACCTCCGCCTTTGTGCAAGGAGGAGCAGGAGGAGCACTGCCAGAGCCCTGCAAAATGACCTCCAGCAGGCCACAAATGTGCATGTGTCTGCTCAAACGGTCAGAAACAGACTCCATGAGGGTGGTATGAGGGCCCGACGTCCACAGGTGGGGGTTGTGCTTACAGCCCAACACCGTGCAGGACGTTTGGCATTTGCCAGAGAACACCAAGATTGGCAAATTCGCCACTGGCGCCCTGTGCTCTTCACAGATGAAAGCAGGTTCACACTGAGCACATGTGACAGAGTCTGGAGACGCCGTGGAGAACGTTCTGCTGCCTGCAACATCCTCCAGCATGACCGGTTTGGCGGTGGGTCAGTCATGGTGTGGGGTGGCATTTCTTTGGGGGGCCGCAAAGCCCTCCATGTGCTCGCCAGAGGTACCGAGATGAGATCCTCAGACCCCTTGTGAGACCATATGCTGGTGCGGTTGGCCCTGGGTTCCTCCTAATGCAAGACAATGCTAGACCTCATGTGGCTGGAGTGTCAGCAGTTCCTGCAAGAGGAAGGCATTGATGCTATGGACTGGCCCGCCCGTTCCCCAGACCTGAATCCAATTGAGCCCATCTGGGACATCATGTCTCGCTCCATCCACCAACGCCACGTTGCACCACAGACTGTCCAGGAGTTGGCGGATGCTTTAGTCCAGGTCTGGGAGGAGATCCCTCAGGAGACCATCCGCCACCTCATCAGGAGCATGCCCAGGCGTTGTAGGGAGGTCATACAGGCACGTGGAGGCCACACACACTACTGAGCCTCATTTTGACTTGTTTTAAGGACATTACATCAAAGTTGGATCAGCCTGTAGTGTGGTTTTCCACTTTAATTTTGAGTGTGACTCCAAATCCAGACCTCCATGGGTTGATAAATTTGATTTCCATTGATAATTTGTGTGTGATTTTGTTGTCAGCACATTCAACTATGTAAAGAAAAAAGTATTTAATAAGATTATTTCATTCATTCAGATCTAGGATGTGTTATTTTAGTGTTCCCTTTATTTTTTTCAGCAGTGTATATATATTTTTTAAAGCTATGTATGCTTCATTGCAGACATGCACATACATAATATACATCATATATACATCACTTTTTAATGCAAGAGATCAACATTGTCAGTCTAGTGTAGTTAATATGTTGACTGCTTCAGCACACTCCGAGAGTGTGACAGGGCGAGAGTCTGCCCGGTCTGTATGTGTACTGCCCTGCTTCTGCGATTCTGGTAGCTGATGGAGGTAGTCACATAGTAAAGACCTCACCGCCTCGCCATTGGAGTCATCCAGACATGCAGGAGCTAGGTCGCACGGCTGGGAAAGGCTTTGGCTCGTCTCTTCAAGCCACTTCTCCATAAAGGGATCATTATTCATCTCGCACATATTATGTAGAATGCAGCATGCCTGAGTCATCACAGGGATCAGGGCAGCATTGCTGTTGTTGCGCTTTAAGCACTGCCAGCGGGCTTTCAGGCGACGAAAGGTACCCTCAATAGGGGTCCGTGCATGGCTCAGCTGAGTATTAAATGTATGTTGCTGAGGTGTTAGTTGAGGTGACTCTGGATAACATTTGAGCAGCCAGCTCTGCAAAGGGAAGGCTGCATCACCCAACAGCACATAGCCAAGAGGTTGGCCCATGAGTTTGTGAAGTGTCTTTGGTGACAGTCCCCCTTCTCTCGCCAACATCCATAGTTCAGAGCCCTGCAGTATGGTTGCATCATCAGTGCTGCCTGGAAAGCCTACACGGACGTCCCAGAATTGACCATGTCCATTCACAACTCCCTGCAACACCGTGGAGGGCCATCCTTTGCTGTTCCAGCCATCACTGGTTTGGCTTTGAGATTTCACAGAAACGTGAAGGGAATCAATGACACCCACACAATGAGGGAAACCCCACTGTGTGTTGAACGCAGCAGCAATTTCCTCCAGCTCCTGTTCACTTGGCTGATGAATGAAGAGTGGCTTCAGCACTGTCACAATGATATTGCATATGTCTCGTACACATTTGATTACTGTGGTGCTGCTCGTGCCAAGTAGGTCACCGATAGAGAGATAGTCCAAGTTGGTGGCCAACCGTAATATAACCATTGCCACACGTTTCTCCAGGGAGACATGACAGGTAGGGTCTTTTACTTCAGGTCTGAGCTTGTCACAGAGTTGGTCAAATGTGTCCTTGCTCAGATGGAATGTGTTGAGCCAGTCTTGAGGCTGGAACTCCGTAGTCACAACCCTCTCCCACCAGTCTGATTTAGGCTCTGCAGGTGAGTAATGTCTCGTGGGTGAGGGTCTTAAGGGTGAGGATGGTGTTGAAGGTGAGCTTGGTGGTGGCTGAAACTAGAAAAGGTATAGCAGTTATATATATTTCAATTACCACTTTTTACTCATTGAAAAACTGTTAAAGTTGGGATGTTTGAATCACCTAGGCTATTTTATTATCTTTGAAATACTGCATGTGTTCTCTTGATACACACACTTTACTTTATGTCAGGTTGATTCCACATCAAATTGTTACTTACTGTATGTGCAAGCCTCTTCATTTTTTTGAGGATATACATTCTATGTCTGATATGCCGTTGGATTTCCATCTGTTTATCCATGATGGCTTTCCTAATCTTTTCTCTACGCCTCATGGACAGATACAAAAGCCTCGACCGCCGTTCCACAACAGCTTTCTTCATAGAACTCTCCATGGCTCTTTGTGTCGAATCTAGCTACAGCTGCATTAAAATGGAAACATGCATGCAGCTAGCTGCTATGTTTTCAAGCTCACCTTGAGCTAGATAAGCAGAGCCATGTATTAAGATAAATAACGTTACATGGCTCTGGTTATCAGTATTTTTGGCGAAACTCTATGCTTGCTTGCTAGCTAGCTAACCTGTGTATACTGTTAGCAAAGGAAATAGCTAACTAGCTACGTTAACTGTAACGTTGGTTAGATAACCTAACAACATAGATTATGTGCGTTTTCAGAATTCACAAACGAACGTTAGCTAGCTGCAGCCTTCTTCTCCTGTGGCAACAACGTGTGACTTCAGTGTTTTGATTTGAACAGCTTCGCTACGTAAGCATTTCCCACAATGCATTGCAATTTTGTCAATAACATTTTATGCTAGCCAGCTAACTAACTAGCACACAGAGCTATCACCTAGCTTTTACTTCATTCATTCTACATTATTGCTCTTCAGTTGCTCGTGAAGAAGAGAAAAAGTATACTGCTGTGTCCTGACACCTGCACTCGATTTAAAAATATTACTTCAGTGCCCAAGGCAATGTGTGTGGTATTTGGTAGCTTAGCAGAGTTAGCTTAGATTGGTTAGCTTAGCTTGCTAACGTTACCTAGCAGCTGGGGAGGCTCCCTGTCTACTCTTCCGGACTTTAGTGAAGTTAGCTAGCTATCTGTGGATTAGTGACATGTCATCGACGTAGACTGAACCCTCGGTTCTTTGGTGGTGTTGTTTCTGTTAACTTGGTAAAATGTTTTACCTGGTATGCAAAGTGCAGAGGATCAGTGCCAGCAGTAGACTGCTCTTTTAACTGTGTGACTTTCCAATCAAGATCCAGCCAGCGAGGCACTACCACTATGGACCAAGAGTATCAGCGTCGCCTGCTTCGCCAGATCAACATTCAGAACGAAAACACCAGCCCCATTGTGAGTCCTCATTCTCACACAACTCTCGTTTTTATTACATTACTGGGAACATTTCTGAAGTGGTATTAAAGGGAAGGTGTGTCTCAGCTAACCAAAGTGGTGCAAAGATGACCATACTAATAGGATAACAATGTTATTTAAAAAGGGCACTGGCACTTGTTGGTTCTCCATTTACCGGTCATGATTCATCATGTTGTCATTGTACAGAAGGTGACAGAGGTGATGCGCAACCTGACGCTGAACAACTCCCCAATGTCCTCTCCCAGTAAGCATGGTGACAGGTTCATCCCATCCCGTGCAGGGGCCAACTGGAGCATCAACTTCCACAGGATCAATGTATATGTCACTTAAACCTCTTTAATACCCTATGAATTATGATGCATTACCTCACTATAGCTTAATTTGACACATTTAGTCAGCTCATGGAGAAATGTTTATGTGATCTGTGTTTTTAGGAGAATGAGAAATCACCAACTCAGAATAGAAAAACAAAGGATGCGACATCTGATAGCAGCAAAGGTAAGTAACGTGACAAACTATGCCACATCAGAGGAAATTACTAACATTTAAGAACGACCTACATAGTAGTTAATGTAACTGGGGTTCTGTATTAGTGGATGGGCTGGCCTACTCTGCTTTGCTGAAAAATGAGCTGCTCGGAGCAGGCATCGACAAAGTTCAGGACCCCCAGACAGAGGACAGACGGTTGCAGCCCTCCATGCCGGAAAATAGGAGTCTCTTCAGTGTAAGAATGTTTTCCCTACAGAATCTAATTTATTTCCAAGCTACATGGAGTTATTCTGGAGCAAGGTCTGACCCAAATCTTTACCTTTATGTGCAGTACTCTCTCAGTGCTAAGAGCACAACAGATGAGGACAATGGCATCTCTCCCTACTCATTGTCACCTGTCAGTAGCAAAAGGTAAATTAATAAGTTGGTATCTCTGTAAAGATGCAGGGTGGTTACTGTTAACTTCAAATCAATGTTTTTTCATTTGGTTTGTTTTCTTTCTGTGCAGTCAGAAGTTGCTACGGTCACCCAGGAAGCAGACTCGTAAAATCTCAAAGATCCCATTCAAGGTCTTGGATGCTCCAGAACTACAGGATGACTTCTACCTCAACCTTGTGGACTGGTCTGCTTTAAATGTGCTGAGCGTTGGCTTAGGTACATGCGTCTATCTCTGGAGTGCCTGCACCAGCCAGGTATTGCTTGTCTGACTAATACATGTGCATATTATTTAATTACACATGGTGTTCATTTCTATACAAACACTCAGAGAGCATTGATTTGTTTTTCCAGGTGACTCGTCTGTGTGACTTATCAGTGGAGGGAAATTCTGTTACGTCCGTGGGCTGGTCAGAGAGAGTGAGTTCAACTCCATATAATCTGCCGTTTGTAAATACCACCATAACACTTTTTACTTGCTCTAGGTGTTTTTTGTGTGTGTGATTTGCTGACTCCAATGCTGTGCGTTTCTGATTCAGGGTAATCATGTGGCGGTGGGGACTCACAAAGGCTACGTACAGATCTGGGATGCAGCAGCTGGCAAAAAGCTCTTTACACTAGAGGGTCACACTGCTAGAGTTGGTGAGCACTAAGGGAAAAAACACCCTTATGTGGAACTTCCCAATTATAGATGTAGCATACTGGTTGTTCATTTCATCGATCTCTTTCCCCTCACCATTCCAATGTCTGATCTTCCACAGGTGCACTTGCATGGAACGCAGACCAGTTGTCATCAGGTAGTCGAGACCGTATGATCCTGCAGAGGGACATTCGCACACCACCTCTCCAGTCTGAACGCCGGTTGCAGGGTCACCGGCAGGAAGTGTGTGGTCTGAAGTGGAGTACAGACCACCAGCTGCTTGCCTCTGGGGGCAACGACAATAAGGTATAATAGCATATATCATGATTCTGTGTCCAGATCCCTCAGATATGGCTTTTAACATAGTTAGATTAGCCAAGTTTACAACATAACAACCTCACCAACCATGCATGTCTGTTCTGGTTATGGCCTGCATTTCTCTCAGCTGCTTGTGTGGAACCACTCCAGTACGGCACCAGTGCAGCAGTACATGGATCACCTAGCTGCAGTCAAAGCCATCGCCTGGTCCCCCCACCAGCACGGGCTGCTGGCGTCTGGGGGAGGAACGGCTGACCGCTGCATTCGCTTCTGGAACACGCTCACTGCACAGCCACTGCAGTGCATGGACACAGGCTCGCAGGTCTGCAACCTGGCATGGTCGAAACATGCCAATGAACTGGTACGTACCACTCAGTGTTGTGATGGTGATCCTATAACGTTATTTAAACCTTTATGGTCTGATGGCACTTTCCCTTTCTATAGGTCAGCACACATGGTTACTCTCAGAATCAGATCCTGGTGTGGAAATATCCTGCACTCACTCAAGTAGCCAAGCTTACCGGACACTCGTACAGGGTGCTCTACCTGGTAAGTAACATTCAGCTAGACAAACATGTAGCATGAGTGGTCTTCTCGTCAGTCTTGTTTTAATGTTCCTAACCTCCTAATGTTCTGATATTGTCTATCCCCTGCACTATGTAGGCAATGTCTCCTGATGGTGAGGCCATCGTCACAGGGGCTGGTGATGAAACGCTACGCTTCTGGAATCTCTTCAGTAAAACACGGTCAACAAAGGTACTAAAGCGGAGTTGATTTTTCAAATCTGATCTTAAAATTATAGTATATGTCTATATTTTACTTTCTTGTTGTCCTGTGATTTAAGTTACATTTTTTCCTCTTTTATTCAGGAATCTGTGTCAGTTTTAAACCTCTTTACCAGGATAAGATAACGGCAACGCAGGAATAGACTTTAATGATGGAGTGCCTTGAATTCATCACAACATTCATCAACACAATGCAAAATAATGACCCAACATGGACACGACATCTTGTCATGGAAGAGGAAAGAATTGTTTTACTTTATTAATACTTTGCTCAGAAAGAAGTGAAACTGGACCATTTTCAGATAGAAAATAATTAGTCCTCAATGTTTTTATTAGATTGTTGTTCTATTCATGTACACTTCAATTTACAGTTATGCTTTTTCTGTTGGCTTTTTTGTATTCCATGTCTATGTTGAAAGTATGTGTTAAAGGAGCCTTAAAGTACAATGTAGAGAAATTGATCTACAATTTGAGTTGGTGTTATACTCAGGTCTTATTTTTTTTGACATTTGAAATGATATATTTGAATGTTATATAGACTGGGGCAAGTTGTATAATGTAATGGGACAATCATGGCAATCCATGGCAGTTGTTTTAAGAAAAACATTTCACTTTTGGAATGAAAAAATAGCCATTAAATGTGTCAACGCACTACATTGAATATAGTAGGGTGGAGTAAACAAAACAGTAAAATGTGAAGTGGGCAGTTAAATTGCTCGAACTCTAGAACAAGATATAACAAGAGTATTGCAAAAGAAATGTCTGGTGTTTTCCTTTCCACACACAGCTGCTCATACATTACATTTTCTGTGATTTTTAAATACACTGAACAAAAATATAAACGCAACAATTTCAAAGACTACTGAGTTACAGTTCATAAGGCAATAAGTTAATTTAAATAAATTCATTATTCCCTAATCTATGGATTTCACATGACTGTGAATAAAGAATTGCATCTGTTGGTGACAGATACCTTTTTTTTTTAAAGAGAGTGGCGTGGGTCAGAAAACCAGTCAGTATCTGGTGTGACCATTTGCCTCGCAGCGCGACATCTCTTTCGCATAGAGTTGATCAGACTGTTGATTGTGGTCCCACTCTTCAATGGCTGTGCGAAGTTGCTGGATATTGGCGGGAACTGGAACACGCTGTCGTACACGTCGATCCAGAGCAGCCCAAACATGCTAAATGGGTGGGACATTTTCAGCTTCCAGGAATTGTGTACAGATCCTTGGGATATGCATTATCATGTTGAAACATGAGGTGATGGTGGCGGATGAATGGCCCTCAGGGTATCGCTGTGCATTCAAGTTGCCATCGATAAAATGCACTTGTGTTCGTTGTCCATAGCTTATGCCTGCCCATACTAAAACCCAGCTGCCACCATGAGGTTGTCTGTTTACATCAGCAAACTGCTCGTCCACACGATGCCATACACGCCATCTGCCCCGTACAGTTGAAACCATGATTCATATGTGAAGAGCACACTTCTCCAGCATTCCAGTGGCCATCGAAGGTGAGCATTTGCCCACTGAAGTCGGTTACGACGACGATCTGCAGTCAGGTCAAGACCCTGGTGAAGACGACGAGCACGCAGATGAGCTTCCCTGAGACGGTTTCTGACATTTTGTGCAGAGATTCTTCGGTTCTACAAACCCACCGTTGCATCAGCTGTCCGGGTGGCTCATCTCAGACCATCCCGCAGGTGAAGAAGTCGGATGTGGAGGTCCTGGCCTGGTTACACGTGGGCTGCGGTTGTGAGGCCGGGTTGGACATACTGCCAAATTCTTTCAAATGACGTTGGTAGAGAAATTAACATGCAATTCTCTGCCAACAGCTCTGGTGGACATTCCTGCAGTCAGCATGCCAATTGCATACTCCTTCTAAACTTGAGACATCTGTGGCGTTGTGTGACATAACTGCACATTTTAGAGTGGCCTTGTATTGTCCCCAGCACAAGGTGCACCTGTGTAATGATCATGCTGTTTAATCAGCTTCTTGATATGCCACACCTGTCAGGTGAAGGGATTATCTTGGCAAAGGAGAAACACTCACCAACAGGGATGTAAATACGTTTTTGCACAACATTTGAGAGAAATAAGCTTTTTATGCTTATGGAAAATGTCTGGTATCTTTTATATCAGCTTATGAAACATGGGACCAACACTTTACATGTTGTGTTTATATTTTTGTTTAGTATACTTTTGAAATGTGCATCTGTCTTCATGGGCCAATCTAAACAACCTCTGGTTTTGGCCTATTGATTATTATTAGCCGCCGAAATTGTCGCAACCCCTATTACTAGCCTGTTCAACCTCTCTTTCGTAACGTCTGAGATCCCCAGAGATTGGAAAGCTGCCGCGGTCATCCCCCTCTTCAAAGGGGGTGACACTCTAGATCCAAACTGTTACAGACCTATATCCATCCTGCCCTGCCTTTTGAACGTTTTTGAAAGCCAAGTTAACAAACAGATCACCGACCATTTCGAATCCCACCGTACCTTCTCCGCTATGCAATCCGGTTTCCGAGCTGGTCATGGGTGCACCTCAGCCATGCTCAAGGTCCTAAACGATATTATAACCGCGATCGATAATAGACAGTATTGTGCAGCCGTCTTCATCGACCTGGCCAAGGCTTTCGACTCTGTCAACCACTGCATTCTTATTGGCAGACTAAATAGCCTTGGTTTCTCAAATGACTGCCTCGCCTGGTTCACCAACTACTTCTCAGATAGAGTTCAATGTGTCAAATCGAAGGGCCTGTTGTCTGGACCTATGGCAGTCTCTATTGGGGTGCCACAGGGTTCAATTCTTGGGCCGACTCTTTTCACTGTGTATATCAATGATGTCGCTCTTGCTGCTGGTGACTCAGATCCACCTCTACGCAGACGACACCATATTGTATACATCTGGCCCTTCATTGGACACTGTTAACAAACCTCCAAACGAGCTTCAATGCCATACAACACTCCTTCAGTAGCCTCCAACTGCTCTTAAACACTAGTAAAACTAAATGCAAATTATTATTTTTTTGCCAAGTTAACAAACAGATCACCGACCATTTCGAATCCCACCGTACCTTTGCTCTTCAATCGAACACTGCTGGCACCCGCCCACCCAACTTGAATCACTACTCTCGACGGGTCTGACCTAGAGTATGTGGACAACTACAAATACCTAGGTGTCTGGTTAGACTGTAAACTCTCCTTCCAGACTCACATTAAGCATCTCCAATCCAAAATTAAATCTAGAATCGGCTTCCTATTTCGCAACAAAGCCTCCTTCACTCATGCTGCCAAACATGCCCTCGTAAAACGGACTATCCTACCGATCCTTGACTTCGGCGACGTCATTTACAAAATAGCCTCCAACACTCTACTCAGCAAATTGGATGTAGTCTATCACAGTGCCATCCGTTTTGTCACCAAAGCCCCTTATACTACCCACCACTGTGACCTGTACGCTCTTGTTGGCTGGTCCTCACTACATATTAGTCGCCAAACCCACTGGCTCCAGGCCATCTATAAATCACTGCTAGGCAAATCTCCGCCTTATCCTAGCTCATTGGTCACCATAGCAACACCCACCCCTAGTATGCACTCCAGCAGGTATATCTCACTGGTCATCCCCAAAGCCAACACCCCCTTTGGCCGCCATTCCTTCCAGTTCTCTGCTGCCAATGACTGGAACGAACTGCAAAAATCTCTGAAGCTGGAGACTCTTATCTCCCTCACTAACTTTAAGTGTCAGTTGTCAGAGCACCTTACCGATCACTGCACCTGTACACAGCCCTTCTGAAATTAGGCCACTCAACTATCTCATCCCCATATTGTTATTTATTTTGCTCATTTGCACCCCAGTATCTCTATTTGCACATCATCTCTTGCACATCTATCATTCCAGTGTTAATACTAATTGTAATTATTTTGCACTATGGCCTATTTATTGCCTTACCTCCATAACTTGCTACATTTGCACACACTGTATATATATTTTCTGTTGTATTTTTGTCTTTATGTTTTGTTTTACCCCATATGTAACTCTGTGTTGTTGTTTTTATCGCACTGCTTTGCTTTATCTTGGCCAGGTTGCAGTTGTAAATGAGAACTTGTTCTCAACTGGTTTACCTGGTTAAATAAAGGTGAAATAAAAATAAATAAATAAAATGTTCCATATTGTGCAGTGGATGAAAGCTGCTGTGTCGTGAACTAACACTCGGGCTTGACTTTTTCCCCTTTACTAACTCTGACTACTTTATTGAGGGAAAATGTACTTACTGTGATATGTGGTTGTCCCACCTACCTATTTGAAGATGAACGCACTAACTTTAAGTCGTTCTGGATAAGAGCGTTTGCTAAATCACTGAAATGTAAGTTTCCCATTTGGTGTAACAGTTCCGTATTCATTACGGAAACCGTTTACCGTTTAAGAACCAAACGGAAGCTAAATGAGAGTTCCAATTGGACAAATTCAGGTAGATCTCGCCCCGTTTCTTTCCGTGTGAGAAACGTTTTTCAACCGAATCGGCGTAATGTTGTAGAACGTTACACGTTCTATTTGTCCAATTTCAGAAACGTACGCATACGTCACCCGGATATGCTGCAGAGCGGGAAGTTGAACGGGTGGGAAAATCATAACAAGCGACAAACTGCGCGAAGTAAGACAGCTAACTTTTCTTGCGATCGTTTTGACACTCATACACTTGGAAACAAATCTACTTCGCCATCGTACTATTACAGCCACCTGTCAAGCTAAAATGTACTTGCTAGTATTCGTTTTTTGCGAGCATTATTGAGCTGGATATAGCTAGCTAAACGCCTCACTTGTTTTGGCTAGGAAGGATGGGAGACAGGACCCTGCTGCGGGAAGTTAAGCGGTGGGCGGTTGAAGAATTTAATCTACCAGCCCAAAGTCTCCCAAACGACAACTACTTTAAAACGTGCGTAACGTCATTCATAAATGTCCTATTTAACGTACATGCACCTTTCTTTGGCCTTGTTGAACTATTCCTTTTTGTCTTGGTAGCAATTCTAACTACAGTCTTGCATAATGCATATCGGCAGTTGCAGACTAATTAAAACGAATTTGTCCCAACATTGAGTTAACCCAAGTAACGTTAAGTATATTGATGTTTGTTTTGATTCAGGTTATGTGTTGGCCCAGGTGCCTCTATATGGAGATATGTCACACAACATATTTTCAATCAGAGGTGGGTATGCAGACTTATTTTGTTGTACTTCCTAGTGTTTCTATCAATTATGTGTAGTAGCTAGGTCAACTATTGTCGTTTTGTCCTAATACGTTTGTTCTTCCAATATCTTCGTATAATTCCTTTCTCATTGCAGGAATGTAAGGGTTATGCGTGGAAATCTCCAATGGTATCCTTTATTTTTGGTGTCTTTGAGTTATCTACAACTGGGGTCATTTCATTGTCTCTTGATAGGATAACTGCCTAATTTCTCTGACACGAATATGACACACAGGTTTTGTTGTATGTACAGTTGTACAAGCCTTGACATTGATCTCTCAGGTACAAAGTTCTGCAAGATAAGGAGGTACAACCATATTTCTCTAAACAAATGTCTAGATAGTTTGATATAGTCTTAAAAATGTGATACTGTAGCTATGTGTTAGCATTATGTTTTCTGTGCGCTCATTCTTTCTTTTACATTATTGTATGTATTTGTTTGCAGTTGAAACAGGTAGTGGGGCAGAGTGATGCTGCTAAGCGGTTTGAGCTTCAGGAGCAGATAGAGGAGCTGAAAGCAGAACTAAACCACCTGGACTCTCAAATCAATGGGACTGAAGCACAGCTAGTTACTGAGGGTGAGCATTTTACCAAATATATCATTTCTTTCCACATACCACATCCTAAAATGTGCTAGGTCTGTATATGTTGATGTCCTCTTTCGCCTTGACGTGTTGTACTCTGTCATCTCTTTGTATTGAGTAGAGGAGTCCATTAACCGGAGCTGGGAGATGGTGGAGGAGAACCAACGCAGGGAGCTCCTTTTACAGGCTTTTAAGCAGCGCTGCATGAAGGAGCGACACTCTCTCTCAGAGGATACCTGCAAGATCATTGGGCACTACCAGGTTCTGGAGCAGCTCTCTAGGTGTGCTTGCTAGAGCCTCTGCCGTTCACCATTACCATTTCTTACCACACTTCCACATGCATTTGACGCCTCAAGCCAAGCCCAAATCCATTCTTTACTTTTGGTGTGTTTTGCAGGAAGGCAGAGGTGGAGGTGGTGTTTGGAAATCAAACCTCCAATAGCAGTGGGGACCATCTCAACTCAACAGGAGCAGAGCCTCAGGTTCTGGTAAGTGCTTTTACTATATTCTGTTAGTTATATGATAGTCTTTGAAGTGATGGTTTTGCATTTTACTGGTCTTGTTTGTTTTCCCCCTTAGCGTAACGTCAGAGAGCTGTGTGATGAAAGACTCCACTTCTTCCAGTCTTTACAAGAGAGTGAACTGAAGATTACATCATCCACTGGCACACAGTAAGAATTATCAGATGGTTTTATATTGGAAACGGAGTCATCTATGAGATACTTCTATTGCTAAATCATCATTGTCTCTCTCTCTTCAGCTTGACATGTGAACAGAGAACTGCAGTATTTCAGCATTGGTTAAGTGCTGTGGAGGTAAGTTGCATTGTTTGCACCTAGTTAGTTACATCATGGTCTATTTCATATTTTCTTCATTTGAGTGAGAATCATATTGTTTTTTTTCCATCTCATCAGGACTTGTTACAATGCTATCCTCCAAACCAAGTGCTGTCAGCCTTGCAGTACCTGGCCTTGGGACAGGAAATGACATTGGAGGAGATAATTGCCTCTTTGGATGTGGCTCGTGATGTTGCTGCATTACGGTAAATGTTTTTTTTGTTTGTATTTTACATTTTTACATTGACATTTTAGTCATTTAGCAGATGCTCTTATCCAGAGCAACTTACAGTTAGTGAATGCATACATGTTTTTTTTGTTGTTTTCATACTGGCCCCCCGTGGGAAACGAACCCACATCCCTGCCGGCCAAACCCTCCCCTACCTTGGACGACGCTGGACCAATTGTGCGCCGCCCAAGTCTCCCAGTAGCGGCAGAGCCTGGACTCAAACCAGGATCTCTAGTGGCACAGCGCCTTAGACCACTGCGCCACTCGGAAGTTACCCCCTTTATCTCCACAATTTCGATCTTGTCTCATCACTGCAACAGGCTCGGGAGGCGAAGGTCGAGTCATGCGTCCTCCGAAACATGACCCTCCAAACCGCGCTTCTTAACACCCGCCCGCTTAACCCAGAAGCCAGCAGCACCAATGTGTCGGAGGAAACACTGTTCAACTGACGACCGAGGTCAGCCTGCAGGTGCCCGGGCCCGCCACAAGGAGTCGCTAGAGCGCGATGAGCCAAATTAAGCCCCCCCGGCCAAACCCTCCCCTAACCCGGACTACGCTGGGCCAATTGTGCGCCACCCAATGGGACTCCCGATCACGGCCGGTGGTGGTACAGCCCGGGATCGAACCCGGGTCTGTAGTTACGCCTCTAGCACTGCGATGCAGTGCCTTAGACCGCTGCACCACTCGGAAGGCTGGTAAATGGTTAAATTGATAAGGAAGTTAGCTGGACAAAAAGAACTGCATGGATTTGAATTATAGGGGCAAATGTATCTGTTTTTATTTTAGGTTTCGCTACGAGAGTAATCACATGCTCGACATCTCAAAAGAAGAGGAAGAGCTACCACCCGTTAAGAGTCTTTTACAGGTGCTTTACACATGTTTCAGTTTACACTAAAACACCAACATGGGGCCAAGACACTGCATAGGCTGGAACAGTAATATCTGTGTCTGATCTGCAGTCAGCCTGGGAGGAGGTAGAACAAAGTCTGATGGAACTGGCTCAGACGCGGTCACGAATTCAACAGCTCAAGACCCAGCTTCATGCCCGAAAGAAAGAAGCACAGTTGGAGCTGATTGGTGGGGAATCTCAAACTGAAGCCTTGTCACGGTAAGTCTGCACTACAGATTGGCTTCTTCCACAACATTTCCATAACATAAATGAACATGCTCAGCCTCTAAAGTAGTCATGTCAATTCATCAAAATACTCTAGTTTGTTGTCTGTATCTGTTGTTTGTGATGCTCTCTACTCTTTCCCAGTTTAAAACCTATTTTCTCCCATGTTTCCATCCTTCCCAGGTCAGTGTTTAAGCTGGAGATGCATTGTGTGATTCAGGCAGCAGTGCGAGCTGGTGTGCAGGACCAGTGTGTTCAAATGGAGCAGCATGCCAGAGACCGACAGGAGGCCCTGCGCAACCTGCGGAGCCAATGGCAAAGCATCATGGACTTCAGACAGCTTGGGGTAAGGAAACCTGCCATCATTCAAAAAAATGTGCAGTCTCTTTTTACTTTTGTGTCTTCCACACACACCACAGCATTTCACCACTTGCCACACATTTACCTAAATAAGTGTGACACACTTTTGTCATGTTTTTATTTATAGGATGTCAGGCAGGAACAGATAAGAGGTCTGATCAAGGGGAACTCGACAGCTAAGACTGAACTGACTCGCGTGCACAAGGAGGTAGGCCCATTCTATGCTGCTGTGTACTGTAATGCAGACTGTGTAAACAGTGGCCATCTAACTTGACCTTTTCTTCTCTCCTGTCCGACCTAAGATTGGACAGTTTGTCCAGGGAAGGCTGGCTCCCCAGTTTGCTGAAGTTCTTTCGGCAGCCAATGGGCTTCGCAACTCTGTGTCCCAGGAGGCCAGACAGTTTGGAAATGTGTCACTATTGACACTTGACCGCAGGATCATTGAAGGGTAAGAGCTTCCTATTTGTTGGTGTTTGATGGGTAGTTGAGTTATCCTTCTAATCATTATTTGGTCTGGATGAGAAAAAATGCTCAAAGGGACATTTTTCAGATGGTTAAGTTTTGTCAACTGCTATATATTTCAGCGAGCAGAGAATTCCAGCAGCGTGGTTGTCTATACATCGCTTGCATTCCTTGCCCTTCCACAATCTGTGTCAAAGCCTGGCTTTCCCAATGTATAGGGTGAGTCCCAGCAGATTATTCCATGACCATTTATGCACCTAGTGGTTTGCTTCTTGCTCTTATCCTCTTGTTTAATTACGTGTTGTCTATTTTGTCCCTCTTTATGATTCTCTGCCAGGCCCCTGAGGAACTGTACACCCAAGCGCTATCCCAGCATCTGGAGCTTCGCTTTCTGCGTCGTTTGCTGCAATTGCACTCCTCCTCTTTAGCAAATGTAGAGAAGCATGGAGCGCAGCTACCTGCACCTGACCAACAAGGTACAGATCTTCTATAGCGTTCATAAGATGCCAATCAAACCGTATCACTCCTCTTTACCTGGTTAACCAAAGGCAGATTATGCCATGTTACATGTTTGATATCTTTATCTCTCATTCATCTCCCTTTTATGTATTCCTCCTTAGCCCTCCTGCTACGTGTACTGGAGGAAGACAAGGACCTGCTTAAGTCTTTGTTGCCCAGGGTTCGGGAGCTTACCCAGCGCTGCTCACAGGGCCTTTCGAATGGGAATCAGGTCAAGACTGCCATTTCCCATTGGTAAGTGCTACCATCAACACTTTCTCCCATATAGCTCTCTTACTCGTATTGAACCTCCATATTATTCACCAGCTAGACTATTGACAATTCACTTTTCTCTTCTGTTTTCTTTCTGTGCAGGTGGGATCAGCCTGCTCAGTTTGCTCTGCCTGACATACGTAAGGGGGGACTGACTTTTCAGCAGTGGCTACAGAGGTGGAAATTTGCAGCTAAGGCTTCTTGATGAGCTCCCTAGAAAATAAAGACAAAACTGAAGTGCATAGATACCCAGCAAACGGGACGTCCTAAGGATGTCCAGGGGACCATGAAACAACCTCCTGACGTTCCGGTGACGTCCTAACGACTCATTTATGTTCGCAGGGTATGCACCAAGGTTAATTTTAGAGAACAATACGGTTCTTTGTAGTACTAAAACTACAATTTTATTTCCACTGACATTAATTTACAATATTGTTTGTTTCTCACATCTCCTTTTTGCTAAACATGCCATTCAATGTGTATCACACGTAAGTTGCTATTGTCTTTATGCCATTAAATTAACTTTGCCTGCACCTTATGTTTGTTTTAATGAGCTTGACGGTTAATCTCAATCACAAATGTAATGCTATTTGACCAAGACAGTTGCATTAGTAGTAATCCATATGACCATATCATTGACAATACAGACAAATCATTTTTTTTGTGGATAGAGGAATAGATTGTTGAAATAAATGTGTTCCGTATAGGACCACTTTGTTCATGGTGTGGTTTTGCTATGTCTTTGGGCTGTACATTTTAGTCATTTAGCAGACGCTCTTATCCAGAGTGAGTGCATACATTTTCATACTGGCCCCCGTGGGAAACGAACCCACAACCCTGTCATTGCAAGCGCCATGCTCTACCAACTGAGCTACAGGTGACTAGTTGTATGAGTAATAATAATATCCTGTGTTGTTATAGGCAACTAGCTATATTCAGGACTTGTTCTTGACATGGAATGGTCTTCTGTGTGATTCGCATTGTTTGACTAATTTTATGGCACGCCCTGTACTTTCCTTCCCGGTTGATCCTTTGTTGATGAGAGGCAGGCAGTCAAATAATGACATTGCTCACACCGGTCATATCTCGAACTTTGCAAGGGGACGCTTTCGTAAAAATATGCCAATTCTACGTGCAATGTGGACACACTTATGTACAAATTTGTAATCTAGTCTGGGAAAGAAGGTGTGAAAATTGAACAAGGACTACTGTTGTAGTGAACGATGATGCAGAACAATCCCGTGCGCTGACTCGAGTTATGCTACGTTTATAACCAAGTGGGAAGGTGGTCTTTACCTCATTCAACTGGGGAAAAACCACATGAACGACCCTCCCAACTGGTAATTACTAGTAGGAAACTAGTCTATCATCCCTGAGTTCCGGCTTCTCCCACATACTTACTTCTGAAGTCACCCTATAAGGAAATTATCTCGATAACAGCATTTTCAGCAGTTGAATGTAACAAACAAAAAGCAATCTCTTTTTTTTTAACTACATAATTTGTTTACCAGCATGATAGCTGTACTCTTTGTTTATGGTTGAAGTAGCTTGTTGGCCATTAGCCAATCTGCATTTCTCAACGAGTTCAAGTCATGTGAATTCATCCAATTGGTAATTTCCTTCCCACTTGGTTATGAACGCAGCATTATGAAGCCGACTCCACCCCTTTCTCCATGCGTTTGCGCACTGATCAACTGTGCTTCCGGATGCCAAGATTGAGCAAGAGTGACTGCACAGCTGCCGCCGAATTTAAAGAGACAGGCAATCGTTTATTTAAAATAACAATCAGCAACCATTGTCTCAAAGCTTGTTTTAAGAGGCTTCACTCTGACATAGCGTACCATTTGTAGTCAATCGTTGGACCAATAATGGCGTTTAATCAAAGTCGCATCGAGTATTAGCGTATCGTCATAGCTAAGTTACCTGGTTGGATTTTCGCTCTTTTGCTTGCTGGCTAATGTTAGCCAACTAAGCGTTGCTAGCTGGTTTCCCGACGAAGAGCAAGATTTGTCGGATAGCCAACAACCATATACCGAAGCTTATAATCAAGTAGTAGTGGCTACTATATCGCCGGGATAATGGCGAAAATCCAGGCACACAGCAACACGAAGCAAATAAACCAAATTCAAGACAAGGCCTATGTTGTACAAAAACAAGTGCAACAACAGCACTTTCAGAAACTGAAGGTAAGAGACGGTAACAAAAATGGAAAAGTCTTCCTCAGAACCATTTTGTGTTCGTCAGATATTGGCCATCTCTCGATGCTAACGAGTTAGCTGGCTAACTAATCATAAGGGTTCTGATTGGAATGTTACTAGCTAGCTAACGTTAGCGTTTGTTGTCGCATGCATGCACAGGACTTCAGTGGAGGTTAGCTAACGCCAGCTAACTTCGGTTCTCCAATTGCGTTAAACGTGATTTTAGAAATGAGTCACTGGGTCATCCAAATACAGCCTAGTAGGACATCATGTTAGTTATCCATCTAGTTGCTTTGGCTGGCTAGAAGCTACCTAGTTTCGATTGTCAGATAACTTCGGACATCCGAAGTTCCTTGTTCACCTTCTCTGCCCACACTGCCAGGCAGAACAAAGTCAAACGTGCGTTACCTAGAATGGGATGGTGTTTGTTGGCACAAAATGGGAGACCTGTCTTTGCTATTTTGTAATCCGACGTCGACAGTTAGCCAACATACTCCTCTGTTCACTCACTATGTTATGAACATAATGGTATATTTAGAAAACCCTAACGTTAGATATTGTTTATTCAGGCGTATTCCTTGTTTTCCACACAGCACACAGAACCATCGAATTTGTTAGCTAGCTAACCATACAGTTTACGTTTTCCTAGGTGACCAGATTTTAGCTACGTTAATGTATCAAAGACAAAGGTGTTTAGATGTGTGATGTATAGTAAGCCTATTTTTATTTATTTAAAAAAAATCTTGCTCAGCCTAGTTTATCTGCCTATTATTTGCAGTGTAGCTGAAAATAATACTGGTAGATGGTTGGATAGCTAGCTAAACGAGTTATAGTCAAAACATGCAATGTTATTCAGCTAATGACTGCATTGAGAAGCAACATGATTGATTTGCCCTTGTGATTGTGAATGTGTAATAACAGTGATGACACACACACTATATTCTTTGTTGATGATCTGGCGGTAATCTAGAGTGGGCCCCTTAATTTCTTGAATTTTATGGAGAGGGAGAAATACAATTTGATAATGCTCTAATGAATTTTCATTTGGTTCCACACCATTATCTTTACCCTCAGGTTGAAGATGCCCTATCATACCTGGACCAAGTGAAAATACGATTTGGGAATGACCCTGGAATATACAACAAATTTCTTGACATAATGAAAGAATTTAAATCACAAAGGTATTGAGTTTCCCTTTCCCATTTCTTGAAAAGTGACTAACTTCAATAGTATAAAAGCATCTATCTTAAAGGGCCAATTCAACCATTTTTATATTAATATCAAATAATTTTTGGGTACCAATTACGTACCTTACTGTAATATATTTCCATTAAAACGGGCAAAAAACTTTCTTAAGTAAGCGTTTTGCTAGGACTGTCTGGGAGTGGTCTGAGTGGGGAGGGGGAAACTGAAAACTAGCTGTTATTGGCAGAGAGGTTTGGAACTCTTTTTGTTATTGATCTATTAACCGATTTATCCCATGGTGATACCACCATGGAAAGCCGAAACTCCCGCTCATGGAAACCTGCTGATTACAAGGTCCTGTGTAGATTGTATTTTCAACCAGCAACTATCAGGAAATAACACTGATCAAATGTTTTCACACTTTTACTGTGTTAGTTTAATCAGTTTTTGTACAGTATGAATACAACACAGGAAAAACACAATTTTGACTTCACTGAGCCTTTTAAATGTGTTGAAAAGCAGATGTTCTTAATGCCATCTCATTTAAGGTCACTTCCTCTGTCCCTATAAAATTTCACAAAAATCTTTCTCTCCTCCTTCATAGCATTGACACACCGGGTGTTATAAACCGTGTGTCTCAGCTCTTCCACGGACACCCGGACCTTGTCTTAGGATTCAATGCCTTCCTGCCCCCAGGATATCGGATAGAGATTCCCAAGAATGGAGTGGTTTTCCTTCAGTCCCCTTTCTCTGCCCAGGTGGGTCACTATAAATGTGTATTGATTGGGTTTCCAGACAATCATAATACTGGCTGCCTCTGCACAACAATTTGTGTAACCCAGTTTTATGAATCAATATCCACACAAAGTACTGGTAGTGGGCCTATATATAAATAGAGTTTGCCACAACTTTTCCACCGGAGCATACCACATGGTCACACACAAAGGTGCTCTTAAGATGCATGTTGTGAAGTTATTTATGATAAACGTAAGTGCCACCTTTTCTTTGGTAGGTCTCCCCAGGCCAGGGGAAGAGTATTGCAAGCCCTGCTGTGAGTGCCACTGGCTCATCTGTTGCTGAAGCTGGGTCTGCCCAAAGTGAAGCTGTGGCATCGCCTGAAAGCATCTCCTCGTCCTCTGGACCCCCAGAGCCTCCCAGTAGACTGTCCCTGCCACTCCCCAGCAGAGAGAGCCAGTCCCAGCCACAGTCCTCCTCAGTGTCCCCCCCTGCCTCGGAGCCCAGCCCAGTAGAATTTGACAGTGCTATCAGCTATGTCAACAAGATAAAAAACCGCTTCTTAGACCATCCAGAGATCTACAGATCCTTCCTTGAGATACTACATACTTACCAGGTACACTGTGTCATCAATATGGTAATTAATTTGTTTTTCTGTCAATTGAAAACAACATATTTGATTGATGTCTGCTTAAAGTGAAGTTGTTTGCTAGCATCTAGGTCAAGGCCACTTGAAATTGTTGCAGATGAGTGTGTATCCTATCACAGTTACTCAGATGGAACAACCGTCTGTTTTTGTGTTTTCAGAAGGAGCAGCTTGAGGTCAAGGAGAGCCGGGGTCGTAGTAGTAATGGGATGACAGAGGATGAAGTTTTCTCAAAAGTGGCCAGCCTCTTCAAAGGCCAAGAGGACTTATTGGCTGAGTTTGGACAGTTCTTACCAGATGCTAAGAGATCATTGGTTAGTATTTTCCCCTTCTTTCTGAGAACGTTACCTGTCCATGGTCATTATGTTTGATCAGTTGACTTTCAGTGCCATTTGTGTTGCTATATCTAACTATCAGTTCTGTGACCTTTCAGTTCACTGGCAGCTCCCTGACAGGGAAAGACCAACTGAAGAGGGCAGAGGACGAGGACATGAGCAAACAGAGCAAGAAGAGATCCAGGCCCATGCTGCTGCCGCACATGACACCACTGCTCAAGGTTTGGACTTAATCACACATTTTATATGCTTTAGAATTTTCCTAGAAGACCTTTACTGTATGTGATTGGTTATGGTTTGGTTATTTTAGAAAAAGATGAAGTTTTCGTGCTCCAAAGACCAGTCCTTTGCCTCAGTTGGGAAGCATGGAGTCTTGCGGGAGTTCACCTTTTTTGACAAGGTAAAGTGTCAGTGTTGGAATGATTCCATAATGTTTTGGCTCTGACAGACATGAAATCCTTGGTCACAAATGATGAAAATGTTTTGATTCGTTACAGGTTCGCCGTTTCTTCAAGAGCCAGGAGGTGTATGAAAACTTCCTCCGCTGCATTGCTTTGTTTAACCAGGAAGTGGTTTCGGGAGCAGAGCTGCTGCAGCTTGTCACCCCCTTTCTGGGGTAAGTGGACCGTGGGAGCTTGCATTGGACCATGGGAGCTTTCAAAGGGAACAGTCACTGATGTCTTCCGGAGTAAATAAATGCATTCTGATATTTTTGCACTGTATGAAGGGTAATATGTTTTGCCAAGTCTCCTCTTGAGCCATTCATTCATTTGTACATGTTGATTATTTCCTCCAGGAAGTTTCCAGAGCTATATACCCAGTTCAAGTCATTTCTGGGGGACAAAGAGCTCTCTCATTCAATGTCTGGCCTGTCAGACCGCTACATGGAAGGAGGTGGGGGCAGGGAGGTCGACTATGCATCTTGCAAGCGCCTGGGATCCAGCTACAGAGCACTACCCAAGACTTACCAGCAGCCCAAGTGCAGTGGTCGCACTGCCATCTGCAAAGAGGTCTGCATAAATTAAATAAGTTCTGTTTTTTAAGATTTGCCATTTCAGCACTGATTTTTAGTCCAAGTTCATAGCATTTTTTGAGTCTGGTAGTGGATGACAGAAAATAGTTGTCTGAAGGCTAGATATATGGCCTTGACAGGGACTACTATTGCTCCAGTAGCTGTGAATCTACATCCATACAAGTTTTGTTTGTCAGTGCATGCCAGTTCTTAGTTATTTCCCCCCCACATTCTTTTAGAGTTCAGCTTGACCAATGTTTAGTTGGAGCTTTTAACTTGATATCTGTGTCAGAGAGTGAGGATAAGGTATTGGTAACGACCAATCAGAATTGAGCATGTGATTATTATGTATTTTTCCCCGACACTAATTGCTTCTGGTTGGCTTTAATGATAATATTCTTAGTTGTATGGGTATTGAAAGTGAAACCAAATGGGTGTTGAAGTCCTGCCTTCCTGCATTTACAGGTGCTGAATGACACCTGGGTTTCCTTCCCCTCATGGTCGGAGGACTCTACGTTTGCAAGCTCTAAGAAAACCCCATATGAGGAGCAGCTTCATCGCTGTGAGGACGAGAGGTTTGAAGTAAGCAAGCTGAGATATCAGTATGAAAAATGTATGCACTCATTAACTGTAAGTCGCTCTGGATAAGAGCGTCTGCTAAATGACGTAAATGTAATATCAGAACTACTATTACTACAGCCACCAACTATATACATACAGACTGTTCTCCCTCATCTACCCAGAGCATCACTCTGCAGAATCATTTAGATGAACATGTTCCAGAATGATTGCTAATGGTTATTTTCCTGTTTCCTCAAGTTGGATGTGGTCCTGGAGACCAACCTGGCCACCATCCGGGTCCTGGAGAGCGTTCAGAAGAAACTGTCCCGTCTGTCGCCTGAGGACCAGGACCGGTTCCGTCTGGACGACTGTCTGGGTGGCACCTCTGAGGTCATCCAGCGCCGAGCCGTCTACCGTATCTATGGCGACAAGGCCCCTGAGATTATAGAGGGGCTGAAGAGGAGCCCTGCTACTGCTGTGCCTGTGGTGCTCAAGAGGTCAGAGTGCACACACAACCCACACACACATGCAGGGATTTAACTAAGATACTTGGCCAATGTGAATCTAGCTGTGTGTTAATTCTCCTATGTCCTCTCTGCTGTGTCTGTAGATTGAAAGCGAAGGAGGAGGAGTGGAGAGAAGCCCAGCAGGGCTTCAACAAGATCTGGAGGGAGCAGTATGAGAAGGCCTACCTCAAGTCCCTGGACCACCAGGGGGTCAACTTCAAGCAGAATGACATGAAGGCCCTCCGATCCAAGAGCCTGCTCAATGAGATTGAAAGTGTTTATGATGAGGTGAGTACTCGGATGTCAATTCAATCTACTTTCTTTGTATTCACCCAACTGATAAATCAAATGTTCTTAGCACAGGAGAACATCTCCTTTCTATGTGTCTAACATGTCTGTCCCCCTCAGCGTCAGGAGCAGAGCACAGAGGAGGGGGGCGTGGGCCAGCAGGGGCGTGACGGGAGCAGCGGTGCAGTGGTCAGCGAGCCACACATGGTGTTCACCTACGAGGACAAGCAGATCCTGGAGGACGCCGCCTCCCTCATCATCTACCACGTCAAACGCCAGCCCACCATCCACAAGGACGACAAGGACCACATCAAGCGCATCATCCAGCACTTTGTCCCTGACCTCTTCTTCTCCCGCCGCGGCGAGCTCAGCGAGACGGACGAGTGGACGGACGAGGAGGCCGAGGTGGAGGAGGGAGGAGACCGGGGAGGAGGAGGTAGCAGCATCATACCAGGAGCAATAGTGGCACCAGGGGGCCAGCCACAGCAGCAGCAACAGCAGCTGAACGGGGAGTCGAGGCGGCGGCGGTGCACCTCTCCTCAAACAGTGGAGCTAGGTGGAGCCTCCTCTCACAGCCTGGCTCCAGAGGGAGGGGAGAAGGTGGACCTGAGAGACCCTGAGGCAGAGCACCAGAAGGAGCTGGACGGAGTCTACAACCTGTTCTTCACCAACAACAACTGGTACTTCTTCCTGCGGCTGCACCAGACCCTGTGCCAGCGACTGCTGAGGGTGTACCGGCAGGCAGAACGGCAGCTGCTGGAGCACCGGGCCGAGCAGAACCGAGAGAGGCTGCTGATGGCAGAGGGCCGCAGGGATAAGGCCAGCGACCTGGCCTTGGAGCTCCGCCTCAAACAGCCAAGTAAGAACTTCTCAGATTTAGTGTCTTTTAATATTTTGTATTCTGCATTGGTTAGTGTGTATCTGTGTATGGGAGAGGGAACATGGGGCTAAAGATGGTCCTGTTTTTTGTACTCGATCCACAGGTGAGGTGGAACTGGAGGAGTACTACCCAGCGTTTTTAGACATGGTGCGCAGTCTTCTGGATGGGAACCTGGAGTCTACGCAGTACGAGGACACCCTGCGTGAGATGTTCACCATCCACGCCTACATCGGCTTCACCATCGACAAGCTCATCCAGAATATCATTAGACAGGTCAGGGTTGTCTCCTACTCTAGTTGCCAGATTGCATTCTACAGAACCAGGTCCATATCCGTTCACTACATATTAATGCTTTACCTCAATAACATTATGATCCTGAAGTTTGACTGTTCTCTGAATGCCTGTAGGTTCGCCTTCCTCTGGGCTGACATGTCATTTCTCTGTGCAGCTGCAGCACCTGGTGAGTGACGAGGTGTGCCTGCAGGTGGCTGAGCTGTACCTGGCCGAGAGGAAGAGGGGCGCAGCGGGGGGGAACCTGTCGTCCCAGTGTGTGAGAGCAGCCTGGGAGACCAGCTACCAGTGGAAGTCTGAGAGGGTCATGGCTGAGGAGAACTGCTTCAAGGTAATGGTCTGCCCTGGGGGGACAAATGCTGAACCTTTTTAGCCTTGAATATTTGAAGAGATTTTCTATTGATTCTGTGCTTTGAGCATGGGGAGACTCCGAGGGTGTATCTTTTTATTTGGTTGAGGGAGAATGGTTTCCTCATAGTGTTAGTGTAGGGCTTTAGCTGCTGCTTTTTTGGAACAGAGATTCTGTGCATTCTGAAACCGTCATAAAAGCGTTTATCATTGATGTTTAATGGCATGCTGTGGTGTGATTTGTCTTTGTAGGTATTGTTCATTCAGAACAAAGGCCAGGTGACATTGACCATTGAGCTGCTGGACACAGAGGAGGCCCAGGCCGATGATCCACTGGATGTACAGGTAAAGAATCCTATGGGCAGTCGCACCTATAGAATATCACAGGATTCCCTTTGGACGTTAACTTAGACTGACCTTTTAAGGCAACTTGCTGCTCCAGATTTTGATGGGCAGCTTGCTTTTATAAAACACAGGTTGAGGCTATTAAATTGTAAACATTATTAGTTCTCCCTCCCACTTTGAAAAATCAATAAAAGGTAAAATGACTAATAAACCTCTGAGTTTATGGCAGTTTTGTTATTTAATCTCACAGTTTTAGTGCTTTGCACTGTCAAGGCTTTTTCCCGATATTGATTACGTTTTCTCTTTCCCTGTCCAGTGCCTGTCCAGCTATATGGAACAGTTTGTAGGGACAGAGTCGATGCTTTGCTCGCAGACTGAAGGCTACTTTTTCAAACCTGTATTTCTGCCCAGGTAAGGGATTCATGCTATTACCGTTGGTTGGGATGTCCATATACAGTGAGGGGGGGGAAAAAGTATTTGATCCCCTGCTGATTTTGTACGTTTGCCCACCGACAAGGAAATGATCAGTCTATAATTTTAATGGTAGGTTTATTTGAACAGTGAGAGACAGAATAACAACAAAAAATCCCAGAAAAACGCATGTCAGAAATGTTATAAATTGATTTGCATTTTAATGAGGGAAATAAGTATTTGACCCCCTCTCAATCAGAAAGATTTCTGGCTCCCAGGTGTCTTTTATACAGGTAACGAGCTGAGATTAGGAGCACACTCTTAAAGGGAGTGCTCCTAATCTCAGCTTCTTACCTGTATAAAAGACACCTGTCCACAGAAGCAATCAATCAATCAGATTCCAAACTCTCCACCATGGCCAAGACCAAAGAGCTCTCCAAGGATGTCAGGGACAAGATTGTAGACCTACACAAGGCTGGAATGGGCTACAAGACCATCGCCAAGCAGCTTGGTGAGAAGGTGACAACAGTTGGTGCAATTATTCGCAAATGGAAGAAACACAAAAGAACTGTCAAACTCCCTCGGCCTGGGGCTCCATGCAAGATCTCACCTCGTGGAGTTGCAATGATCATGAGAACGGTGAACTACACGCCCAGAACTACACGGGAGGATCTTGTCAATGATCTCAAGGCAGCTGGGACCATAGTCACCAAGAAAACAATAGGTAACACACTACACCGTGAAGGACTGAAAACCTGCAGCGCCCGCAAGGTCCCCCTGCTCAAGAAAGCACATATACAGGCCCGTCTGAAGTTTGCCAATGAACATCTGAATTATTCAGAGGAGAACTGGGTGAAAGTGTTGTGGTCAGATGAGACCAAAATCGAGCTCTTTGGCATCAACTCAACTCGCCGTGTTTGGAGGAGGAGGAATGCTGCCTATGACCCCAAGAACACCATCCCCACCGTCAAACATGGAGGTGGAAACATTATGCTTTGGGGGTGTTTTTCTGATAAGGGGACAGGACAACTTCACCGCATCAAAGGGACGATGGACGGGGCCATGTACCATCAAATCTTGGGTGAGAACCTCCTTCCCTCAGCCAGGGCATTGAAAATGGGTCATGGATGGGTATTCCAGCATGACAATGACCCAAAACACACGGCCAAGGCATCAAAGGAGTGGCTCAAGAAGAAGCACATTAAGGTCCTGGAGTGGCCTAGCCAGTCTCCAGACCTTAATCCCATAGAAAATCTGTGGAGGGAGCTGAAGGTTCGAGTTGCCAAACGTCAGCCTCGAAACCTTAATGACTTGGAGAAGATCTGCAAAGAGGAGTGGGACAAAATCCCTCCTGAGATGTGTGCAAACCTGGTGGCCAACTACAAGAAACGTCTGACCTCTGTGATTGCCAACAAGGGTTTTGCCACCAAGTACTAAGTCATGTTTTGCAGAGGGGTCAAATACGTATTTCCCTCATTAAAAATGCAAATCAATTTATAACATTTTTGACATGCGTTTTTCTGGATTTTTGTTGTTGTTATTCTGTCTCTCACTGTTCAAATAAACCTACCATTAAAATTATAGACTGATCATGTCTTTGTCAGTGGGCAAACATACAAAATCAGCAGGGGATCAAATACTTTTTTCCCTCACTGTATTGGCCTTTGTATGAAGCCACATTATTTCCCTAGATGTTACATAGCAATCCTCTATTGTGTTTTCACATGTTATTATTTCACTGCCTTAACTAATGACTGTGTAAAAGCATTATAGTGCAGATTCTTTCTGCTCGCCATAACAGCAAAGCACAAAATGAGTCTTTAGTATTACAGGCCCTGATTTGAATCTGAATGTGGTGGTCCCTTGCTTCCATGTGGTCCTCTGTCTGAACCTGAGGCACAGTATTTTCCCTCTGATATACTCTGACTGTCCCCTGCTTCCCTGTGCTACCGTGTGTGCGTCTCTGTGTGTAGGAACCTGAGGCACTTCAGACGCTGGCAGGTGCGCCAGGTGGAGGCGATGCGCTGCAGACGGGAGTGGCACAGGCAGCTGGGTGTGGAGAGTGCTGGCAGCCTGGACTGCCGCTTTAAACTCAACACCCACAAGATGGTGTTCGTCATGAACTCTGAGGACTACATGTACCGCCGGGGAGCGCTGGTCAAAGCCAGGAAGGTACAGTTAAAGTCGGAAGTTTACATACACTAAGGTTGGAGTCATTAAAACTCGTTTTTCAACCACTCCACAAATTTATTTTTAACAAACTATAGTTTTGGCAAGTCGGTTAGGACTTCTACATTTTTCCAACAATTGTTTACATACAGATTATTTCACTTATAATCCACTGTATCACAATTCCAGTGGGTCAGAAGTTTACATACACTAAGTTGACTGTGCCTTTAAAAAGCTTGGAAAATTCCAGAAAATGATGTAATGGCTTTGGAAGCTTCTGATAGGCTAATTGACATCATTTGAGTCAATTGGAGGTGTACCTGTGGATGTATTTCAAGGCTTACCTTCAAACTCAGTGCCTCTTTGCTTGACATCATGGGAAAATCTAAAGAAATCAGCCAAGACCTCAGAAAAAAAATTCTGGTTCATCCTTGGGAGCAATTTCCAAATGCCTGAAGGTACCACGTTCATCTGTACAAACAATAGTACGCAAATATAAACACCATGGGACCACGCAGCCGCCATACCGCTCAGGAAGGAGACGCGTTCTGTCTCTTAGAGATTAACGTACTTTGGTGCGAAAAGTGCAAATCAATCCCAGAACAACAGCAAAGGACCTTGTGAAGATGCTGGAGGAAACGGGTACAAAAGTATCTATATCCACAGTAAAACAAGTCCTATATCGACAACCTGAAAGGCCGCTCAGCAAGGAAGAAGCCACTGCTTCAAAACCGCCATAGAAAAGCCAGACTATGGTTTGCAACTGCACATGGGGACAAAGATCGTACTTTTTGGAGAAATGTCCTCTGGTCTGATGAAACAAAAATAGAACTGTTTGGCCATAATGACCATCGTTATTTTTGGAGGAAAAAGGGGGTGCTTGCAAGCCGAAGAACACCATCCCAACCGTGAAGCACGGGGGTGGCAGCATCATGCTGTGGGGGTGCTTTGCTGCAGGAGGGACTGGTGCACTTCACAAAATAGATGGCATCATGAGGAAGGAAAATTATGTGGATATATTGAAGCAACATCTCAAGACATCAGTCAGGAAGTTAAAGCTTGGTTGCAAATGGGTCTTCCAAATGGACAATGACCCCAAGCATACTTCCAAAGTTGTGGCAAAATGGCTTAAGGACAACAAAGTCAAGGTATTGGAGTGGCCATCACAAAGCCCTGACCTCAATCCTATAGAAAATTTGTGGGCAGAACTGAAAAGGCGTGAGAGCAAGGAGGCCTACAAACCTGACTCAGTTACACCAGCTCTGTCAGGAGGAATGGGCCAAAATTCACCCAACTTATTGTGGGAAGCTTGTGGAAGGCTACCTGAGACCTTTGACCCAAGTTAAACAATGTAAAGGCAATGCTACCAAATATGAATTGAGTGTATGTAAACTTTTGACCCACTGGGAATGTGATGAAAGAAATAAAAGCTGAAAAATAATTCTCTACTATTATTCTGACATTTCACATTCTTAAAATAAAGTGGTGATCCTAACTGACCTAAGACATAATTCTTACTAGGATTAAATGTCAGGAATTGTGAAAAACTGAGTTTAAATGTATTTGGCTTAGGTTTATGTAAACTTCTGACTTCAACTGTAGCTATTAGTATTACTGTCTGGGATTACTGTGTGTGTGTGTGTGTGTTTTTTTTTTTTTAGGTGAAGAACAGCTAAGGCAGGCATATCTTGTCTTTTTAATTTATTTATAGCTTTAGATGGCAAACACAAATTAGGGTTCCAAGTTCATTTAATATATTTGAAGTGTTAGGTGTCTTGTTTTGGCATCAGCTAGACATCCTCATGACACTTATCATCCAGAGTGCTTCCACTGTGGTACATGAAGCCCTGTCTGTAGGTCTGACTAACTCTTCCCGTCTGTCTCTCCTTCAGTCTCAGCACAAGGTGGCTGTGAAACAGCACGAGCGCTTTGACAAGTGGCACCAGGGCTGGCTGGCAGAGCACGTGCCTCCGGCGGCCGAGCGCTCGGTCCACGACTGGCTGATGGGTGAGGAGGAAGAGGACATGATCCCCTGCAAGACCACCTGCCTCAACACACAGGTCAAAGGCCTGCCTGTCAACAGATACCAGGTGCATTACAGTAGGAAACCCCCCTCCTCTCCCTAGAGGATGGATCCACACACACAATCTCTCTCTCACACACACACCTGACCTACTACACACACGGAGAGAGACTGGGTGGACTTGGCAGACATGTTGAGACTGAGACTGGGGGATCCAGCACGGAACACAGGAGCTCTTCATCCGATTCACCCATGCTGCTTCTCTGTTCACACAGTCAGCAGTGCAAGCAGAGGGACGTGAGAATAAAATCATTGTTTGTTTCAGAAATGTGAATGTTTTTTTTGTTTTTGTTTTTTTAAGTCTGTTGTAGTTTTTAGCTTCTGAAGCCAGAGGGCCTTTTTGTTTGTTTGTATATGTTTATACTGAAGTACTGAGAGAAATGGTTAAATGTGTCATGCTCCACAATGTATTTTGTACAGTAAGCTCAACTTAAGTAATTGCATTACTGTATGTGCATATATACAACTGTACACATTTTATATATGCATTTACATGAATAAGATGAATGAACATGTAAAATTACATGGATCTTAGTGTTTTGCAGGCAGCAAATTCTTGATATTTTCTTTTTTCTGGTCATTTTTCTTGTGACTAATCTAAACAGATGATTAATTGCCAGTGTGACAAGTCCTCACAATTGATTTAACTTTGTACATTTTATGGAACATCAGAATTATGGATCATATTCATGATTTCACCAAATCTTTACTTTGGTTTGTCATTTTACATACTAAAATAAACAATATCAGTGTTAAAAAAAGAATGTATAACATTTATCCTGTATCAGTTATCATGAAAATAAACAACCTAGTTGTGAACTTCTTAAACAGCCTGGAAAAGTCTTAAATGTTTTTGATTATATATATTTTTTCTTGATTGTGTTGGGGTGCAGAACTTGGAAGTGCAACATTGTGGCTTTTCTTGTCATTCCAAAGAACTTGCCAACAAAATATGTATGTTCAACATTAGGAAATCTCGGTACAGACAACACTCTTTTATTATGGAATGGACAAAATAAAAAAAGCCAGAGCCAGGGCGACAGTTTAAAAAAATAAGCGTGGTTTATAAAACCCAGTTGTGACAGGATCACCAAAGTGTATACAGAAATACAAATGAGACCATCATTAAAACATCATAGTACAGCGTTATACACTCAACATTTACAAACTACTCTGTAAAAGGGGTAATGTAAGACATTTCCTTGTCTTTTTTAAAACACAACCACATAACTGATCTTTATCAGTTTTCATAACGCATTCAAAGTACATCCATGTAGTTACTACAGACACTGTTAGTCTTCTACTTTAGAAAGAAAGGCTACAACATCAAGAAGGAAGTAAAGATGTGGAGACATCAAGCACATAACATGGGATTTAGCAAGCAGTATAATCAGCAAATCATTGAGTGGTTTTACTCATGAGAAAATGTGATGTCAGGGCTTGCGTATCATTCAGGTCTTAGAAAGAAAAAAATAACTACAAAGTAACCCTCAACCCTTTGACATTATCACTTTCTGACCATATCTTGTCATTAAAAATGGCTCAGTTGTAGATAAATTAGTGAATAACTGCTAAGCAGTCATATGCATTAGAACGCTTCCAAGGTAACATCCTAGGAAACCATTAGTATCTTGTTAGATCCCCTCCCTCCAGTAGCCCTGGACGCAAACCCTGAGGATGAGGGAGCCAGGAAAAAAGATGGAAACACCAACAAGATACAACCAATCACAATCTAGACTTTCTTCTACTTTCTCTTTTTTTTTTTACAAACACAATTCAACAGGTTTTACACTTAAATAATGCAGGATTGTGAACAATCAAAATGCTCCTCAACACCTAGAATACTGCTTGTTCTAAAGCTAAATGGAAAACATGAATGTATGTAATCAAGAATTATCAATACAGCTAAAATAATCAGTATCCTCCAGATAATGAAAAATAAATTCAGATATGTACAATGGAAAACAAAAGCAGCATGCAGGCAAGACAATTGTCAGAGCGATACTAAAACAATCTCATGAAGTTGGGAGGGAGACGTTTGTGCTCTCTGACAAAAGAGGACAGTGTTAAAGGTTTAGACTAGATTAAAAAGTGTGTGTGCGTGTATATTTGTGTGTGTTTTGAGGGGTAGAAGAGCTCTCCATCACTTCAAAAGGCCTGAAATGCAAAAGCTTTAAGAAAATAAAAAGCCGACCTCTTTGGTGGAAAGACTGGTTGACTGGCCTGTTCAGTAGTTGTAGTGAGTGTGGGAAGAAAGTGGCCGCACCTATTCTTCCAACAAAGAGGACACAATCAGTAGTTAGATAATTGAATTGTGTGTTTTGTGAAAGTGGTTTCAATGACTACAAGACTTCATGGCACAGCCATAACTGCCATATGTCTAATTGCATCATCACCACAGTAATATACGACATCTATCTCAAAGGCACAGGACATTGTGTGTATTTCTTCTTGTTGATGGTGCTATTACACATTTACAACATTTTGTAGCCTATGAACTTTGCAATTTACACAAATATTTAGTGCTGGGTCCCCAACTGTCATTTCTCATTAGATGCGTCAACAGTCTAAATAATAAAGAAAAGCTAAGAGAAAGGCAAGAGAAGCTCATGCTGATTGATCAACACTGTACATCAACTCCTGCATCATGTAAACACAGTTTACCCACAGGGGGAAAGAGAGAGGGTGTCACACACAGGGAGTGGAGAGAAAGCAGTCAGCGACACACATACACTTATCCTTCCTTTGAAAAGCCAGGAGGTCCACGAAAAGGGGCTTACCCACTTCAAAGTTACAGCCGATAGATTGTGCTCGCAAATGATATTTGTCTACAAATAAAGCATGCATGTAACAAAATGGACAAACAAAACAAAAAGAGCGCTAACAGTGGATGTCAGTTGAACAATTTCCATGGTGTTATTTTTCTTGGTGAAACCAAGTAATAAAAAGTACCAATATTAATCAAGAAACAACATACATTGAAGCAAAATCATGAGCTTTGTTGATAAGTGCATTGCCATAAAAGCATGAGAAACAGACATGTACTGTAGAATGAGCTGATAATAGAAATCAACCTCACCTTCAACATCATTTTTGGGCACCGAGACTTGAAACTGTGAGCTAACCCAGTCCTAAACAACAGAGTAAATACTGCAGGCCCTACAACCCAAGGAGGACGGGCCTGTTTAATCACAGCTATCTGATCTGAGAACTACTGTTTCACAGCAAAGTCTTTCCAGGATTAGAGATCACTTGACACAGCAGATATACGACTCACTCACTTGGTCCCTGTTCTAGTCAACAAGCCTGACAAACCCTACCACTAAAAACCCTACCACATGCAGAGTCCCAGGGTCTATTATACTGTACATGCCTGCATTCTATATTCAAAAGAGGTAATGCAGCAGCTATGTTGTAAAGGTCGTAGATATTTCAGAGGAGAGATGACAGAGATCAGGGTGAGGACTGTTATTTGGATAGTGAAAGTGCTAGCAGACATGACAGAAGAGGATCTCCTGTTTAGCCAGGGCATTCCTCCTATGGAAAAGCCATCTCAGCAGACGTCATCAATATCCTGTGAAAATGCCACATGACCTACTTAGGCAGTATTACAATCAGAGGAACTCCAGTGGAAAACCCTGATCACTGTCAGCTGAGCTCTCCCCACTGCTTCTGAGAAGGCTGAAAGCAGAACAACAGAACAAATACAAAGTGCCCCACACAATCATTGGAAAACACTGCAATCGAAAATGGTCACAGTGCTGTTTTAGTTGTTGAGCAATGAAAAGAGAGAATGGGATAGTATTCTTAAAGGGCAGAGAAATGCATGAGACTCTCTGACATCTCAACTCAGCTGCACAGTAGAACAAACAGACTATTCTTCTCAGGCTAGCTAGATGATTGATGCTATGCCAGCGAACAACATTCATTAAAATAATGCTTTAGCAGAAAAGCAAAGTACAGTTATGAACATGTAGGGCACTTGACATGAGCTAATTAGACAATTGATTTGTTTGTTTTTGCAAAACTTTGAGGTTGTAACATGGGCTGGCTAACTGATCTGTGGGCCAAGCTTATATGAGAGGGAGAATGAGCCACCTGAAGGGTTCTTAGTCTTCTACACAGGACAAGAGCGGAAACAGTAGCTTTTAGAAAACATGGCACAAGTCTAATTCAACATTCCCACCATTGAGAAACACATACATATCATTGCACAGATGCTCAAGCTATTCTCATTCTTATAAATAATACATGGAGTATATAATAGTTATGACATCCAAATAATGCACATGAACAAATATACAAAGTAACTTTCACAGACAAAAATATGTTAAAATTATATTTTTGTTCAAGTTGTTTTTTTTGTTTGTATTAAATGCACCTTTCCTGCAAGTGGCACCAGGGTTTTACACTGACTTCATTATTACAACTCAATAAACAAAATCAACCCAGTACGTGGAGTAGAAAAAAGAACCAACAGGTTGAAACCAGTTGATTTTGTTGATATGCTGTGGTTAATGTTGCATTCCAGAGTCCACGCTCAGGTGTGTTATTATTATTAGTCTTTTTGATAAATATGTCTTCTCCCTGTTGATCCTAATATAATAAATGCATGTAAACAGTCGTTTGTTCTCTAATACATCTCCAAAAATGGCAAAGAACTACAAAAACAAATATACAAACTAAAAAGTATCAACATAAAGTTTGTTAAAAAATAAAAGTACTCATAGGGAAATCCCAGTGCTAGGTGGGTTTTCCCAATATGTGCCTGTGTGTATCCCTCTTTGTCTGAATAACTGTGTGTGTGTGTAATCCACCTCTTCTATACCAATATCATATACTGAGATTGTGCTTGAGTAAATTAATCTGTTTGTCTGTCACTGAATTGTTGTGTGTCTCTGTGTATGTCTGTATGTATTAGTGTGTATGTTTGTGTCTGTCTGTGTGTGTATCTATCTGTGTCTGCCTGTGTGTCTATCTGAGTGTGTGTGTGTTTGTGTGTGTGCGTGTGCGTGTGTGTGCTTGTGTCACAGGAGGTTGGTGGCACCTTAATTGGGGAGGACGGACTCGTTGTAATGACTGGAACGGAATCAGTGGAATGGTATCAAATACGTCAAACACATGGTTTCCACGTGTTTGATGCCATTCCATTTGCGCCGTTCCGGACATTATTATGAGCCGTTCTGGTGTGTGTGGTGTGTGTGTGGTGAGGCAGCTCTGTGATGTAGTGATCACTGGGGGCGTAGAGCTGGTGCCCTGGTGCCCTGGTGCCCTGGGCTCAGCTGAAGGCCTCATCATCCGTGTCCTCTATCAACACCTTGGTGTCCTTCTTGGATGATCTGGACGAGAGAAGGAATGCACACATGGATACTGTCAGACAAACACAAGGCTAACATAATTTATATCGATTCCTGGGCATGTGACCCTAGCCATAAGTCATGTGTATTTTTGGTGTGTGTGTGTTTGTGTGTCTGTGCGTGTGTGTGTGTGTGTGTGTGTCTGTGTGTGTGAGGAGGTTCTTACTGAGAGGACAGCAGGGGGCGCCGTAGGGACAGGCTGTAGCTGCGTTTCCAGCTCTTCTTGCCCTGGCGGTTCCTGACTCCGTCCTCTTGGTCCATCATCTGCTCCAGCAGCGTCTGGTCGTCGGCGTTCAGCGGAGCCACCGAGATGTCCCTCACGGCACGGAACTCACCACAATTATTCAGGTGCTCGTTCTCCAGACGGAAGAAGTTCCAGACAAAACGCCTGTGTGTGGATACAGAATGAGGTATAACATAATGAGCAGAGAAAGAGAGAGAGCGAGAGAGAGAAAGAATGAGAGAGAGAGAAAGAATGAGAGAGAGGGGTGGTGGGCAGAGAGACAGAGAGGCAGAGAGAGAAGCAGTCTGTCCAGCTCTGTGTACTGTAACCCACCTGAACACCTCTAGAGGAGCCAGCACGGTGGCCACAATGTCTCCTACAGAGGGGATGTTGGTCATGGTGGTGAGGGAGATCTGGATGGTCCAGGCAAAACGCAGGATCACGTCCTCTATGATGGCACAGTAGTAGTACGCCTGGAAAATATAACAGAGAAGTCAGGTCAGAGGACGAATGTGTGTGTGCGCTGTGTGTGTGTGTTTTGTGTGTGTGTTTTGTGTGTGTGTGTGCCTTGCTGTGTGTTTATGCAGGTCGTGTGTGATGCTCACTTTCTGTGGGTAGACGATCTCCTCCCTGAGGAAGGTGTTCTCCCCTGCTCCACGGTCAAACAGGCCCCAGTCCATCTTCAGGTCCCAGATCAGAGTGTACAGGGAGCTGACGGCTGAGAACACGATCAGCAGGTAGAAGAACATGTCTGCATCGGAATGCTTTTGTTCTGTGATGCACAAATACAAAGAAATGAGTCCATCATTAGCCTGTATACCGGTAGTTAAATACAATTTTAAAAAATGCATTTTGCTCAATCTGTGTATATATCTTGATAATTAAGAAGAACACATAAATTGCCTGCTTTGAACTGCGGACAGAGACATCAGCTTGTTCATAAATGTTAGTCTCTGGTCTTCACTATCCCCACTAGAGGGAGAACATCTACCATAAGTATTATATTTACTGAGACAGGTTACCATGGATGGAAAATGACATGCTAATCCTTAGTAAACTATTCAGAGGCTCTTGAAACAACATGTTATTGTGTCCTGGTAATTCACTACTAATAAAAAGTACATTTATGATATTCTAATTTCGTCTTGAACATTGACATCATGCCAGTAACAATGTGTAGTGGTAACCAGCTCTGCAGTAGTGTCATGTTGATGTCATAGCTGTGTGTTTTGACTGGGATAGACTCCCATGCTGCTCCAGCGACAGCCTGAATGCCTGGGGGATTATTAATGACTGAGGTATTCTAGTCTGATCTGCCTGGGCTCTGGGCTGAACCCAGCGTTCACCGAGCGCTCTCCCCCTAAGTGACAGAACAGAGTGTGGCCTGACACTGTTTGACAAACTCACACACCAACACACCAACAGGACACCCAGGCCTGGAAGACACATCACGCAAAGTGACGCATCCACTCTTATGACAACTATTCACACCCAACTATTCACACCAGCCTCCTTTACCCAGGTGGAGAGTTCTGACTGAACTGAAAATACATTGACTGAAAATGACTATGATGAATCCACTGGGTAAGTCTACTGTGCGTCTTAGAATAGTCTGCTGTATTGTTATATTTCCCATGAAGGAATATGACCTTTAATCAGTGGTCAAGATTCACGTTGGTCATAAAGTAACAGCAGGTGTGTGTGTGTGTGTGTGTGTGTGTGTGTGTGTGTGTGTGTGTGTGTGTGTGTGTGTGTGTGTGTGTGTGTGTGTGTGTGTGTGTGTGTGTGTGTGTGTGTGTGTGTGTGTGTGTGTGCGCATGTGTGTGCATGTGTGCATGTTGTGTGTGTGTCACATGGGCCGAATACAACGGGTGTAGACTTTACTGTGAAATGCTTGCTTATGACCCCTTCCCAACAATGCAGAGTTAAAATATTATAATACAAATAAAAATAGTAACACAATACAGGGAGTACCAGTACCAGATCAATGTGCAGGGGCATGAGGTATTAGAGGTAGATATGTACATAAGGCAGAGTAAAGTGACTAGGCATCAGGATAGATAATAACAACAGTAAAATAATAACAGAGTAGCAGCAGCCTATGATGAGTGTGAAAGTGTGTGCGTGTGTGCGTGCGTGTCTGTGGGTGTATTGTGTCGGTATGCGTGTATGTGTGTGTGTGGGGGTTTTGTCAGTGTAGTGTGCGTGATTGAGTGTTTACAGTGGGGAGAACAAGTATTTGATACACTGCCGATTTTGCAGGTTTTCCTACTTACAAAGCATGTAGAGGTCTGTAATTTATATCATAGGTACACTTCAACTGTGAGAGATGGAATCTAAAATCCAGAAAATCACATTGTATGATTTTTAAGTAATTAATTTGCATTTTATTGCATGACATAAGTATTTGATCACCTACCAAGTGAGCATCCTAACACCACCAAACTACTGCATCAACAAACAATTACAGATACAGATAGATTATACAGGCGCCTCAAAGCTGGGACAGAGAGACTGAGAAACGGCTTCTCTCTCCAGGTCATCAGACCGTTAAACAGTCACCACTAGCTTTAGTCACTGTTTCAGGCAGCTACCACCCGGTACTCTACCCTGCACCTTAGAGACTGCTGCCCTAACTACATAGTTTTGAACACTGGTCACTTTAATAATGTTTACATACTGTTTTACACACTTTATATATGTATATACTGTGCCCACACTGTCTTTACACACCATTATATGCACAGCTATTTTCAGGTTTCTCCAGAGATTTTCGATCGGGTTCAAGTCCGGGCTCTGGCTGGGCCACTCAAGGATATTCAGAGACTTGTCCCGGAGCCACTCGTTGTCTTGGCTGTGTGCTTAGGGTCGTTGTCCTGTTGGAAGGTGAACCTTCGCCCCCAGTCTCAGATCCTGAATGCTCTGGAGCAGATTTTCATCAAGGATCTCTCTGTACTTTGCTCCGTTCATCTTTCCCTCAATCCTGACTAGTCTCCCAGTCACTGCTGCTGGAAAACATCCCCACAGCATGATGCTGCCACCACCATGCTTCACTGTAGGGATAGTGCCAGATTTCCTCCAGACGTGACGCTTGGCTTTCAGGCCAAAGAGTTCAATTCTGGTTTCATCAGACCAGAGAATCTTGTTGTCTGAGAGTCCTTTGTCTGAGAGTCCTTTAGGGGGCTTTTGGAAAACTCCAATCGAGCTGTCGTGCCTTTTACTGAGGAGTGGCTTCCGTCTGGCCACTCTACCATAAAGGCCTGGTTAGTGGAGTGCTGCAGAGATGGTTGTCCTTCTGGAAGGTTCTCCCATCTCCACAGAGGAACCTCTCTGACCAAGGCCCTTCTCCCCCGATTGCTCAGTTTGGCCGGGCGGCCAGCTCTAGGAAGAGTCTTGGTGGTTCCAAACTTCTTCCATTTATGAATGATGGAGGCCATTGTGTTCTTGGGGACTTTCAGTGCTGCAGAAATGTTTTGGTACCCTTCCCCAGATCTGTGCCTTGACACAATTCCTTCGACCTCATGGCTTGGTTTTTGCTCTGACATGCACTGTCACCTGTAGGACCTTATATAGACAGGTGTGTGCCTTACCAAATCATGTCCAATCAATTGAATTTACCACAGGTGGACTCCAATTAAGTTGTAGAAACATCTCAAGGAAGATCAATGGAAACAGGATGCACCTAAGCTCAATTTCGAGTCTCATAACAAAGGGTCTGAATACTTATGTAAATAAGGTATTTCTGTTTTTGTTTTTTTTATAAATTTGCAAACATTTCAAAAAAACTGTTTTCGCTTTGTCATTATGGGGTATTGTGTGTAGATTGATGAGGAATTTTTTTATTTGATCAATTTTAGAATAAGGCTGTAACGTAACAAAATGTGGAAAAAGTCAAGGGGTCTGAATACTTTCCGAAGGCACTGTATATATATATATATATATATATATATATATATATATATATATATATATATATATATATATATTTATACAGCTGTGGAAAAAATTATGAGACCACTGCACATTTTTCTTAAATCAGCATCTCTACATGTATGACAGCCATTCCATTCCAGTGTCTGTTGAATTCCAACACAGGCACACCTCATTCTACTGAATTAGGTACTGATTAGGTGATCACATGAACCAAATCTTATTTAACGAGGAAAAGTATAAAAACCACTGCTGTGGTCATCACTATCCTCTTGCAATAGGACCAGCTGGATGGCAAAAACAGTGCTAATAGTACCTCAAACGTAATATTAATCAAAAAAAGAACTATTGACCATGCCAAAAGAGTTGAAAAGGAAAGTTTTGAGTGAGGAAAAGAAGGGTTCAATTCTGGCTTTACTGGCAGAGGGATACAGTGAGCGTCAGGTTGCTTCCATCCTTAAAATTTCAAAGACGGCAGTTCATAAGAACAAGGTCAAGCAGCAGACATTGGGGACAACAAAGCTACAGACCGGCAGAGGGCGAAAACGACTCTCTACTGACCGGGATGACCGCCAACTCATTTGAATGTCACTCAACAACCGTAGGATGACATCAAGTGACCTACAAAAAGAATGGCAAAACGGCAGCTGGGGTGAAGTGCACGGCGAGGACGGTTTGAAACAGGCTCCTAGGGGCAGGGCTGAAGTCATGCAAAGCTAGAAAAAAGCCCTTCATCAATGAGAAGCAAAGAAGAGCCAGGCTGAGGTTTGCAAAAGACCATAAGGATTGTACCGTAGAGGACTGGAGTAAGGTCATTTTCTCTGATGAGTCCAATTTTCAGCTTTGCCCAACACCTGGTCGTCTAATGGTTAGACGGAGACCTGGAGAGGCCTACAAGCCACAGTGTCTCGCACCCACTGTGAAATTTGGTGGAGGATCAGTGATGATCTGGGGGTGCTTCAGCAAGGCTGGAATCGGGCAGATTTGTCTTTGTGAAGGACGCATGAATCAAGCCACGTACAAGGTTGTCCTGGAAGAAAACTTGCTTCCTTTTGCTCTGACATTGTTTCCCAACTCTGAGGATTGGTTTTTCCAGCAGGACAATGCGCCATGCCACACAGCCAGGTCAATCAAGGTGTGGATGGAGGACCACCAGATCAAGACCCTGTCATGGCCAGCCCAATCTCCAGACCTGAACCCCATTGAAAACTTCTGGAATGTGATCAAGAGGAAGATGAATGGTCACAAGCCATCAAACAAAGCCGAGCTGCTTGAATTTTTGCGCCAGGAGTGGCATAAAGTCACCCAACATCAATGTGAAAGACTGGTGGAGAGCATGCCAAGACGCATGAAAGCTGTGATTGAAAATCAGGGTTATTCCATCAAATATTGATTTCTGAACTCTTCCTAAGTTAAAACATTACTATTGTGTTGTTTAAAAATGAACATGAACTTATTTTCTTTGCATTATTCGAGGTCTGACAACACTGCATCTTTTTTGTTATTTTGACCAGTTGTCATTTTTACCCAAACACATACCTATAAATAGTAAAACCAGAGAAACTGATAATTTTGCAGTGGTCTATTAATTTTTTCCGCAGCTGTATATATTTATATTCCAGTCCCTGACATTGCTCGTTCTGATATTTCTTGAAAAAAATATCTGGATTATGTGTGCATTGTTTATTTTAATTGTATTATTGCTAGGTATTACTGCACTGTTGGAGCTAGAAACACAAGCATTTAGCTGCACCTGCGATAACATCTGCAAATCTGTGTACGTGACCAATACAATTTGACTTGATTTGATTTGATAGATCTGAAATCAAAACACTTTGAATATGATCACAAAAGATACCACTCATCCATCACTAAGTCTTTCTGGTTGGACTCAAGGGCTCTGTACGACTGATGTCCATCAGGGTCTAGTCTAGTGTGGGTGGCTAGTCATTGATCTGGAGCTCAATAGAGGGTAATGGCGGTCACTTGCTTCTGTCACGCTCACTAAATGTTTGTGTCTAGCAGGTGCCTAAGCGGTTAAAATACTTTTAAGAGTGGGACGTTGCTGTGACAGACTCAGGACAGGCCTCCCATTGAAGCGAATAATAAGCACCTGGGAACCCGGGAAAAGCAATCATCTGTCTTTGGGTTGTTATCTGCCGCAGTGCTGCCTGCCTGGGCTGTCTTGTACTGCTGTTCAGGTGATAAAGAATCTATTACCTGCCTGCCCCATCACTTTCACCACCCCCCTCTCCTCACAGAGCCTATCCAATCAGACACTGAGACCTAGCAAGACAAACAAAGGTTATTGATTCAGGGAAGGTGGCCTCGTGTTGAATTCACATGGCTGATTGGTAGTGAGATAGTGAGTCTGTGTAGTGATATTAGTACCTGTCTGGTTGGAGTATAATTTCCATTGATATGGATTTGTATTACAGATACTGGTAGTTATATCTGAACTCAACCTACAACTGAATATGACGCTTGATCATAATAGGCAGCATGTCCCAGAGAGATAGTGTTGTTGTAACAGGGTTGAGGCAGAGTTCAGTGGTATCATGACCCCGTTAGTTGGTTTGGGGAGTGTTAGAACTTTGAGCTCTTTCCTATGCAGTGGTTCAGGCAGCTCCGTGTGTCCATAGACGATAAAATCATATTCAGTCAGCTAGCCATGGCCTGGCCATGGGTCTCATCTCTATTCCAGCAGCATCCGCCAGAGATGTGTTTAGCCGCAGGCAGGTTATTACAGCTCACTCTCCTCCAGCTAGTCCATCCTCTTCCCCTCCTCCCCTGCTGCCATCCCTCTTTCCATCCCCCCTCCCTCTCTGCTCTCCTTTCTCCTCTCTCCTCTCTCAATCTCCTCTTATATCTTCACAATAGTTCAACTTTTTCTTTCATCTTCATTGTCGTTTCACTCTCACCTACTCGGCAGGTCTATTATTCATCTTTAGCGTTAACACTTTTCTCATATTAATCTATTTCTGTCTCTCACCTAGTTCATGTCTTCTACCTGATCCATTGTCCCTCCCACACTCGATCAGCCAATCATTGTCTTTCCCACCAGAACTATGGTACTTGTTCCAGCCAACCTTGCAGTATTACTCTCCCCACGGTCTGGGCAGTTCATGAAAGCATTCTCGAGGGCTTACATTAGCATTACTGCTCAGCTCTCCTGCATCTTTGAGGGTAATGGAGCTGCATTGGATAGAAGCCCTTTTACTAGCTCCTGACCAAATCTTCTATTTTATGTTTTTTGCGCTGATCTTAATTAACTGTTTTTGTACATAATGTTTCCGCCATCGTTTCCTATGACCGAAAATAGCTTCTGGGCATCAGAACTGCAATCAATAACCTCGAGTTGGATGAAGATTTCTACTTCAACGAGACGGAGGCACAGGACATACTGCTCACCCCGGAACAGGCCCTAATCTATGAGAGTTGGAAAAGAAAACGGCGGCGTAAGAGAGGCCGATGTGCGGGCACCCTGATGAAACAATAACTGGAGAACAAACTGGATGAGTTCCGTTCAAGACTATCCTATCAATGGGACCTGAACAACTGTAATGTCCTATGTTTCACGGAGTTGTGGCTAAACAAGAACATTGATAATATACATCTAGCTGTTTTTTCTATGCATCAGCAGGACAGAACGGCAGTGTCGGGTAAGCTCAAGGAAGGACGTGTGTGTCTCTTTGTTAACAACAGCTGATGCGCAATCTCTAATATTAAGGAATTCTCTAGGTTCTGCTCTCCTGAGTTAGAGTACCTCATGATAAGCTATGTCTATGTTCCACCACAAACTGATGCTGGCACTAAGACCACACTCAACGAGCTGTATAGGGTCATAAGCAAACAAGAAAATGCTAATCCCGAGCCGGCACTCCTAGTGGCCTGTGATTTTGATGTAGGAAAACTGAAATCTATTTTACCTAATTTCTAACTGCATGTCACGTGTGCAACTAGAGGCGAAAAATCTCTAGATCACCTTTACTCCACACACAGAAACGCATACAAAGCTCTCCCTCGCCCTCCATTTGGCAAATCTGACCATAACTATTTCCTCCTGATTCCTGCTTACAAGCAGAATCTCAAACAGGAAGTACCAGTGACACGCATAATACGGAAGTGGTCCGATTAAGTGGATGCTAAGCTACAGGACTGTTTCACTAGAGCAGACTGGAATATGTTCCGGGATTCATTCGATGGCATTGAGGAGTATACCGCCTCAGTCACCGGCTTTATTAATAAGTGCATCGACGACGTCATTCCCACAGTGACCATACGCACATATTCCAACCATCAAACAGCAAAGCGTTAATACAGGACTAAGATCGATTCCTACTACACCAGCTCTGACGCTTGTCGGATGAGGCAGGGCTTGCAAACTATAACGGATTACAAAGGGAAAACCAGCCACAAGCTGCCCAGTGATGCGAGCCTACCAGACGAGCTAAATGCCTTCTATGTTCGCTTCGCGGGCAAGCAACACTGAACCATGCATGAGAGCACCAGCTGTTCCGGACGACTGTGTGATCACGCTCTCCATAACCGATGTGAGTAAGAACTTTAAACAGGTTAACATTCACAAGGCCGCAGGGCCTGACGGATTACCAGGACGTGTCGTCAGAGCATGCATTGACCAGCTAAGGATCTATCATGGTCCACACACACCAACACAGTCGTAAAGAAGGCACAGCAATGCCTCTTCCCTCTCAGGAGGCTGAAAAGATTTGGCATGGGCCCTCAGATCCTCAAAAGTTTATACGGCTGCACCATTGAGAGCATCTTGACTGGCTGTATCACCGCTTGGTATGGCAACTTCTTGGCATCCGACCGCAAGGTGCTACAGAAGGCTCCCTACCATCTAGGACCTCTATTCCAGGAGGTGTCAGAGGAAGGCCCCAACATTTTTTAAGGACTCCAGCCACCCAAGTCATAGACTGTCCTCTCTGCTACCGCCCGGCAAGCGGTACCGATGCACCAAGTCTACTCTGGAACCAACAGGACCCTGAACAGCTTCTACCCCCAAGCCATAAGACTGCTAAATAGTCAGTTAAATAGTTAACCAAATAGCTACCCGGACTATCTGCATTGACCTTTTTTGCACTAACTTTTCTTTACTCATCACATACGCTGCTGCTACTGTTTATTAGCTTTCACTTTATTCCTAGTTATATTTAAATATCTACCTCTACCTTGTACTCCTGCACATCGACTCGGTACTGGTACCCCGTGTATATAGGCAAGTTATCGTTACTTATTATGCATTTAGTATTACTTTTATTATTGCGTGTTTTACTTGTCTATTATTTCTCAGTTTTTTTCTCTCTGCATTTTTGGGAAGGGCCCGTAAGTAAGCATTTCACTTAGTCTACACCTTTTGTTTACGAAGCATGTGACAAATACAATTGTATTAAGCTACTACTGTACAAGAGCAGATGCCATATTGATCCTGAATAAAGTATTTAGCCATACTGTCAGGCTCAATATCCTGTGGTTCTGGGGACTCTAAACTCTAAAGTCAGGAAATGCCTCGTCCTATTTCTAAATTTCCCGGAACATCAGCTGGGACAACATACACAGCATCGGTCTTTGATTTAATTATAGATGATTATTACTTTAATAATCTATTCACAGGACTGCAAAAGCTGTGTCTGCACAACTTCTGTCTTTAACCTGCATTCAAATTAATCCAACTCCTTTACTATATCGTAAAACCTAGTAGGAGGGTACATTTTACCCTCTTTTGCATTATTATAAATGTATTGCAATGTGAATATAGCACAATTCTCTGTGGTATTGGTGTACTACTGGAATCAATGAGGTCATGAGGCAGCAACAGAGCACTACTTTGTGGATGTATAATGAAGGTGACATATCCATACACAACCTGGGAGCCCTGCCAACATTTCTTATGCTGATTTACTACCGCTGTGCCCAGCATGAACATGATTCAATACTGAGCGATGATCACCATGTGTGCTGTGCGGCGCTCTATTCTGCTTGTGAAACAGATGTTCTGTAATTTGGGTGCTAGGCTCCGGTCCACTGGGTCCAGGCCTCATTTATCTATCCCATCTACTGTATGTCAAAACAGAACTGTCAAACTCTGTGGCCAAGATGCACCTCACCTCCACATTCACATCTGGGCTAGACTTCAGTCGATAGGCCCATACAGCAGACATACCATATACTGTATACTGTGACTCAGACTGAGTCTAGCAACAATAAAGAGCATTGGACTGGACAATTTGATAAGTATTTTCATATTTTTAATAGTCTAACCCATATGTATCTCTTTTAGATTCTAATGACCATGAAGAACATACTTCAAATATCAATGGAAACCCTGTGCATACACATTTGGTAAATTCTCAATTTGGTAGCCATGCCAACACAGTTGAAAGACTGCGGGTTAAGTGGGTATGGTAGTCTGGATATTCCCTCCATCCCTTCTCACTTAACGCCCCCGACACTACCTCTCCATTAAAAAAGAGGGGGATGAAACAGGTCTTCACACAGCATATGAAATGAAGAGGCTCATTAGTCCAGGGTCCACAGGGCTGAAGACTAGAGGAACGGACCGACTGAGTGGAGAAGGAAAAGGCCTTAATGGTCTCATTTCCTAAGAACCTAAAACCTCCTCACTGCCTCCAAACTGACAGCCAAATGGAGAGTCAGGTTACAGAAGAAACACAAATATTGATTAAAATATATATAGAAAAATGAAGCAAAAATCATGCTGTGCAGTAACATTTAACATTTTCAAAGGTTGAGCTGAAGTTTAAAAGCTGGCATTTGCACAAATAAATATATAACTGTCGATGGACGAGCATATAAATAATGAAATGGCAAAAACCGCTTAGCAAACTGCTTTGAAATTATCGACTTGGACAAACATCTATGCAGCCAAGATATGAGATAGCACAAAGGCTGAATGTTGAAGGGATGCATTTGGAGACTGAGGGCCATGTCTCTGTACACTTCCTCTTTTATGATAACACTTCTGAATCAGAATAATCAGTGGCTAATTGTGGAGCTGGAGAATGACAGGCTTTATCCTGCTTGATACTTAATGTTAGCTCTCGTATATAGCTATTATGATACTAGAGATAGAGAGCCTCTCGAGGATAGAGCTCTATCTCATCTTGCTCTCTAGAGCTATGGAGAAGAGCGCGTAGCTCGTCTCTCTCTATCGAGTGCTCGCTCTCTCTCTCCATCTCTCCTCTCTCTCTCTCTCTCTTCTCTCTCTCTTTCTCTCTCTCTCTCTCTCTCTCTCTCTCATAAAATGACAGAGCTAAACCATGATTATCCCATGCTGCGCTTTTGTACTTGATCGTTTCCATTATAATGAGGCATTGACAAACAGAGAAGAAATACAGGCTTGACATCTTCCAGTGGCAAACCATTTGCACTCAAGGTCAGCTCTGCTTTCATTGTCTTCATACAGCTTGCTCTGAGCTTCAGCATTCAGCCTGACATCCCTCTCCAATCACAGCAAAACAATGGTCTGTTGTCCACAGCTCAATAACACCTCTGCTTATACTCCACTTCCCATGATCCTCCCCTTCCTGTCCAACTAGCTCAGAGAGCTGGGTGTGTCTCCTTACCTTTGTGGGTGCTGTAGAGTGCAGCGAAGGTGACCACAAAGAAGGTGGTGGAGTATTTGCCAGCGTTGACCAGGTGAGGGAAGGCTCGCTTGGTGTCTCGGTACCGACGGAGGCATTGCACAAAACGGAACCAAGCAGGCAGACACTGGATGATGGCACGGATACCGTAGGAGTAACTGTGGCATATGTAATCACCTGGTGGGAATGGGGGAGAAAATTACATTTTAACAACAACCAAAACATTTATCAACCACAGCCATATTTCCATTTTGTATATGGTTCTGGTATCAACCATTCTTACAGCTTGACTTTTTGAACTGTTCTGTTGGAATGGAATGGAGGGACATTCATGGATTTGTTGGACTCACACAGGTTGCTCCACAGAGACAACTTCTCACTGAGAGAGACAGCTCAAGACTAGCTAGCTGTAGTCCCAGTGCTTTGACTCATTGCCATTCCACTACATTGTGCTGTTCGCTCTACACTCTCCCTCTCTCCTTCTCCCACACACACACATAATAATAATAATACTAATCATTTGGGGGGTGCTTATATTTGTCCTGTTACAAAGTGTGTAATGGAAATGTGTTTCTTGCATTCCCAACTCCCCCTGAGACACTCGCAGGGAGTAGGGTCACAGCCAGGGTCACCATTGTACACACACAGCAGCAGCAGCACTCTCTACATCACTGGGGCCGAGCTCCCTGCCATCCAGGACCTCTATACCAGGTGGTGTCAGAGGAAGGCCCTAAGAATTGTCAAAGACTCCAGGCATATACGCTTTTGCTACTGTTTATTATCTGGCACTTTATTCCTAGTTATATATACATATCTACCTCAATTACCTCATACCCCTGCATATTGACTCTGTACTGGTACCCTGTGTATATAGCCAAGTTATCATTACTTACGTTTATTATTACGTGTTTTACTTTTCTATTATTTCTCTATTTTCTTTCTCTCTGCATTGTTAGGAAGGGCCCGTAAGCATTTCACTTTTAGTCTACACCGGTTGCTTACGAAGCATGTGACAAATACTTTTTGATTTGATTTGACTCTCTGAGTGGACAGCTAATCAGCATGAGAGTCACACTGCTGGACACAAACATTTCCATTCAATTACCTCCCTGCTGATTTTTCGGGCCACAGCAGAGGGCTGCAAATTACTGAGGAGAACCATTAATATCTCATTTTCCAGACAAACAAACAGACACAGGCAGACAGACAGACAGACAGACAGACAGACAGACAGACAGGCAGGCAGGCAGATGGACAGACAGATCCCACTGAATATGGACAACAGTGCATATCTCCTAAACAAAACAATACTGTTATAGATGAGTTTGAACAGAGTTGCTGAACCAGCATGATATATAGGTTTGGGTTATATACATTCGGCTGTTACCTCACTGCATACCTGACATGACAGTTCTGCACTTACAGAGCAACGGTAGGTACTAGTTATGGTCTAACTCACCGTTGAACATGGGCAGGAGGCCTTTGCGGTCGGTCCATTTGAGCTCGAAGCTGTAGAAGCAGATGAGATACTCCAGGTCCATCAGTACAATCACCAGAGAGTTGAGCTGGTCGGCCAGCCAGAAGTCTGCAAACTCCACGCGGTGGAACGGCGCCGTGAACACACGGAACTAGGGAGAGGACAGACAGACAGACAGAGTTAGTAGTCCCATACAAGACACAGGAGATCTGATTAAATACATATGCTACCACTGAAGGGGTGAAATGTGTGTTGGAATAGTCTGAGGTTAAGATAACATTGACAGCTCTTCTATCTACAGTACACCTCTGCATACTAATGCCACTAGAACTCTCATGCTTGTCTAACAATAAGCCATTAAAGACATTACAAATGACCAAAGAGAAGGGACACACATGTAAAGACCTGGGCTACAACTATGTATACAAGACTTGAACATGGAGGAAGCTCATTGTCATGCAGCTAATGAGCCTGTAATGTACAGGGTATTATAAACTGGGTGGTTCGAGCCCTGAATGCTAATTGGCTGACAGCCGTGGTATATCAAACCGTACACCACGGGTATGACAAAACATTTATTTTTACTGCTCTAATTACGTTGGTAACCAGTTTATAATAGCAATAAGGCACCTTGGGGGTTTGTGGTATATTTCCATATACAGTGGGGGAAAAAAGTATTTAGTCAGCCACCAATTGTGCAAGTTCTCCCACTTAAAAAGATGAGAGAGGCGTGTAATTTTCATCATAGGTACACGTCAACTATGACAGACAAATTGAGAAAGAAAAATCCAGAAAATCACATTGTAGGATTTTTAATGAATTTATTTGCAAATTATGGTGGAAAATAAGTATTTGGTCACCTACAAACAAGCAAGATTTCTGGCTCTCACAGACCTGTAACTTCTTCTTTAAGAGGCTCCTCTGTCCTCCACTCGTTACCTGTATTAATGGCACCTGTTTGAACTTGTTATCAGTATAAAAGACACCTGTCCACAACCTCAAACAGTCACACTCCAAACTCCACTATGGCCAAGACCAAAGAGCTGTCAAAGGACACCAGAAACAAAATTGTAGACCTGCACCAGGCTGGGAAGACTGAATCTGCAATAGGTAAGCAGCTTGGTTTGAAGAAATCAACTGTGGGAGCAATTATTAGGAAATGGAAGACATACAAGACCACTGATAATCTCCCTCGATCTGGGGCTCCACGCAAGATCTCACCCCGTGGGGTCAAAATGATCACAAGAACGGTGAGCAAAAATCCCAGAACCACACGGGGGGACCTAGTGAATGACCTGCAGAGAGCTGGGACCAAAGTAACAAAGCCTACCATCAGTAACACACTACGCCGCCAGGGACTCAAATCCTGCAGTACAAGACGTGTCCCCCTGCTTAAGCCAGTACATGTCCAGGCCCGTCTGAAGTTTGCTAGAGTGCATTTGGAGGATTGGGAGAATGTCATATGGTCAGATGAAACCAAAATATAACTTTTTGGTAAAAACTAAACTCGTCGTGTTTGGAGGACAAAGAATCCTGAGTTGCATCCAAAGAACACCATACCTACTGTGAAGCATGGGGGTGGAAACATCATGCTTTGGGGCTGTTTTTCTGCAAAGGGACCAGGACGACTGATCTGTGTAAAGGAAAGAATGAATGGGGCCATGTATCGTGAGATTTTGAGTGAAAACCTCCTGCCATCAGCAAGGGCATTGAAGATGAAACATGGCTGGGTCTTTCAGCATGACAATGATCCCAAACACACCGCCCGGGCAACGAAGGAGTGGCTTCGTAAGAAGCATTTCAAGGTCCTGGAGTGGCCTAGCCAGTCTCCAGATCTCAACCCCATAGAAAATCTTTGGAGGGAGTTGAAAGTCCGTGTTGCCCAGCGACAGCCCCAAAACATGGAGGAATGGGCCAAAATACCAGCAACAGTGTGTGAAAACCTTGTGAAGACTTACAGAAAACGTTTGACCTGTGTCATTGCCAACAAAGGGTATATAACAAAGTATTGAGAAACTTTTGTTATTGACCAAATAATTATTTTCCACCATAATTTGCAAATAAATTCATAAAAAATCCTACAATGTGATTTTCTGGATTTTTTTCTCTCCATTTTGTCTGTCATAGTTGACGTGTACCTATGATGAAAATTACAGGCCTCTCTCATCTTTTTAAGTGGGAGAACTTGCACAATTGGTGGCTGACTAAATACTTTTTTTCCCCACTGTACCACACCCCCTCGGGCCTTATTGCTTAATTAGAGTAGTGGAAGACGAGAGGGCAGAGAAGAACAGGAAGCTACTCTCCAAATGAGCTGGGACGTGTTGAGGTCATGAGCCCTGCAGCAGCCAGCAGTCCTAGTATCTCCCTACAGTAAATGAACTGGTGGATACCTATGGAAAGCCTAATGTGTCAACCTGTCACTCATTCAACAGGGCTATTGCCACACCAGCAATAGTTTGCCCCTCATTGAGAGGTACTGCTTAGGTAGGTAAATATGGGCTCACATTTTGTGAATGGTTGGTGAAGTAGTAGAACATTTTTTTTTCCCATTTGCAGACAAATTCCATTTTTGCTGACACATTATCCAATCCGACACACCACACATGCACAAACATGACAGTCTGGGAGCAGCACAGGATCAACGGCAGAGCCATGCCCCTGGAGCAGATTGATTTGATTTAGCTTAATATGATTGGGTTAACTAGTGTTTTGGGTATGGTTTCTGTTGGGACTGGATCATGTTATCACGGGTCTGCGAATGAGACTGTGGGTGAATGGGAATGATACTCTCCCCCGCTTGCCTCCAGGGCTAGCCTGACATTTCACAAGCCCATCTCTCTGTAGGCTACACTGCATCACTAGGCGGTCTCAACCAGTCCCAGATTGTTGCAAATGTCAAACAGTATTGATTCATCCTGTTATATATGTGAGCTAATTCAAGATTTCTACCTGGCAATCTATGTCCCTATTGATCTCCACACCATCTCCATACACTGAAATTCTAGACATCCAGAAGATAAACCTTCTTCAAAATGTATTCATTGTGTAAACAAACACACCAGGCAATCTGTTTCGATTTGTTCCCTGATTATATGTTTGTCCTCTGGTTAGTGCCTGTGTTCAGTGTGGGTGTGTGGCTCTCTAGGATGGTGCACAGGCCCCAGTGGAGCCCAATCAGAGCTGGAGAGGGCTGTGGAATGGCTCGGGGGGCTGGGTAACTAAGGGAAGGGATTGGGAGGATTGGAGGAGCAGCATACTGATGGATCCATCCCTGTAATGATTGCACAGTCACAGCCGTCACATCCCCAGGGACCCGCCTGCATTCTATTATCCCTCACCCCACTGGCCTCTGTCTCACACACACACACACACACACACACACACACACACACACACACACACACACACACACACACACACACACACACACACACACACACACACACACACACACACACACACACACACACACACACACACACACACACACACACACACACACACACACACACACACACACACACACACACACACACACACAGAATCCTCCTACCCTCCAACCATCCCCATCCCCCTAGCCAGCAAACATCAGACAAAGAAGAAATAAGCCGAATACAACAAAGCACAGTAGAGTATGAGAGATAGATATCAAATACAGTGTTGTACACACAAACACCAGTTGAGTCGGGTTTCATTGTACTGATATCATTTCATCATTATAATACAGTAGTCCCAGTGGAGAAGGAGCTCACCAGCAGTTTGAGCAGCCAGAAGCGGGACTTGTAGTAGCCAGTCTTGAAGGGGTTGATGAGGAAGAGGAGCATGAAGCCGTAGAGGATGAGGGGGTTGACCTGCATGGGCAGCAGGGTGTACTCAGAGTACAGACAGGACAGGATACTCATACACCACAGCACCCCCAGGAACCCTGCAATCTAGGGAATAATTAAATAGATAAAGCCATCAAACACTCAATAGATTTTTATTAAACTACATTTATAAAGCTGTATATAAATTGTCCTTGATAATATGATCAGAAAAAAACATAGTGCAAGTCATCAGATTAGTATTGATTATTGACAATTTTTCATTTCCCTTATTCAGCTAATTCTCTCTCTAGTGGTCACACAAGATCATTTTTTCTCTCTATTATTTCCACTAGTTCTTTCAGTATACTGTCTGGCTGTATTCTTGTTATTGTCCTTTTGCATCCCCTGGTTCTCCCCTCTCCCTTACCTCAAACAGGTGCTGGTGGGAGAGGTTGCTTCGAGGGTTCAGCTCAAAGATGAGCACGTGGTTGACCCCCGCCTGGCGCCAGCCGTACGTGTTAATGCCCAACAGGAAGAGGAACTCGATCAGCAGGAAGCCACCGCGGTAGATACGCACCAGAGGCCACACGTTTTCATACCGGATGAGTACAGCACCTGCAAATATTAGCAATTAAATCATCTAATTCTCCATCAAAATATCTGAGGCTAGAGTCCTGTTATAAAATACAGTATGTACAACTAACTTGAGCTCCCCACTAATGGCAAAGCCCCATTTCCTGTGTATCTGTTAATCCCCCAGTAAAAATACCTAATTAGCATGGTTGTGTGTGAACGTACCAGTGAGGATGAAGGAGATAGCGAGGACTATGAAGACCCCACAGTACAGGCCAACGCGGAAGGTAGTCCAGGCTAGAGCAGGCTGCAGGAAGGAAAAGCAGAGAATGACAGAGATGAGAAATTACCAGTTACTAGGCCTGTGTGACCGCCCGTCTTCTCTGCTCTACTGTAATGTTGTCAGGCACACAGCTGGAGAACCACGCTAGGCAGTTACTAATTCATTTAGCTTGACAGATAGACACACTTATCCAGGGAAGCTGAAACCATTCACAGAATCCAGTTCACCTGTTCCTTGTTCAATGCACCTTATAGGACGAGTCCTTACATTAAAGTGTGTTATTGTCAAGTACTTTTGGATGTGCTAAAAATACATTTCATATAAAGATGCCCACAGGAATCTGGACAAGCAATATGGATCTGGCATAATTCAGGGTGGACATGACATTAATATTAATACAGCTATAAATCTAAAGGATATGTGACAGGGGATGTGAAGCACTCTCTCCAGCCCTCTCTCTCTCTCATCCCCTGTGGAAAAGCTATTTGTCCAGTCTAGTTTGGAGAGCCTCTTACAGTATCAATACTGTGGGGTTGAATAGGGTGTGTGTGTCACATACATATATACACACACAGCAGGAAGGAGATGAAGAGCAGGAAGTGTGTCACTCTACCATACTAGGTTTATGTTGATGAGATTCTGGCGCTGGCAGGGAATTATGGCGGGAATGATCTAATTGGTTAATTGTCCACTAACTAACATACACACTCTAGTAAGCCTGTGGTGCAGTCTCTCTCACCTGTGCTGCCCCCAGTGGAGGCACTCTCAGCCTCTTCATGGCCTTCTGACGGTCCCCTCCCTCCAGCTCTGTGGTCACCAGAGCCTGTCAAACACAACACACACGTCTTTACTGTTCATCCAGGAACAAGTTCAAATGCAATACAAGAGTAAAAGTCAAAGACCAGGATCCGATTTTGCCAGAATTAGCAGTTTTGTGGTTAAAAGAGATGATGGAGTATACACTGTTGTCAAGAATGAACATCAACCTAAACAACGCTTGACCACCACAGCCAGGGGCTTCTGTTCCATACATACCTCAGTCTCAGAAATGAGCTGGGTGATCTTCTTACAGGTGTAGAAGGGGGCCACCTCCACGTGGGCCACGCGCCAGTCAGCCCCACGGGGAGTCTCCAGGATCTTATCATGCTTCTTCAGGATCTTACGGAAACCTGTGAAGTTCAGATTCTGGGAGAAAGACAAATCCTGGGCTTAAGTCTGAGCAAGAGATGCAGAGAGGCAACATGAGACAACGACTAAACGGTTGAGATAAACTAAACTGCTAAGATAAAGAGAGACACGGAGAAAGAAATGGACACACCACTAGAGAGAGGTGGATTGAGGGATTGTGAGATGCAGAGAGACATTTGATGCAGCATCAAACAGAAAGATGAGAGGGTGTGGATAGGCTGACTGTTTCACCTGTTAGTTCAGCATCAGGATGAGACTGAGGTAGTATCTAGGGGTAGTGTTTTCGGGTTTAGGATTAAGGGTACCAACCTGGTAGTCCTGCATCAGGATGAGGCTGAGGTAGTACATATGGGTAGTGTGTAGGGTTTAGGGTTAAGGGTACCAACCTGGTAGTTCTGCAGTAGGATGAGGCTGAGGTAGAACTCGGAGAAGGCCAGCTGCAGGTCCTTGATGTTGCGGTGTTTGCAACGCTCCTCCTGGGAAAGGTGGAACACTGTCTTGCGTTTCCGCAGACCTGGCGCATTGCTCTCGCGCTGCGCATCCAGAGAAGACTGCAGCTCATTCTGCAGGGTGGCGAAACGCCTCTGGGCTTCAGCAAGTTTCTCTGCAGGAGGGAAGGAGGTATGTAGAACAACCGAGTGAGGAACAGTGTCATGGCATTATGACAAAGACAGATCTGATTTCACTCTGCTGATGTCTTGTGGATAGTTCTAGTGGTTTTGAGAGTAACGTCTACTGCACTGAGACTGTCAGAAACATTAGGTTTCATTAACAGGCCTGCAGTAAATCCAGCCAGAGGTAAACACACTTCTCCTTGCCCTCCTCTCCATTACAGGGAAGTGGAAAGGGGAGTATTATGTTCTGCAGACGTGTAAATGCAGCCCTCGGCAGGCCCATTACCAGGGTCATGACAGGGTTAATTTCCCTCCTGAGAGAGAGACAGCAGCAGGGCAGGGGGGAACCTGAGTTGATCTGGAACATGGCCCACATTCTCCCCCAGCCTCCCCCACCCCAGTCCCACTAACACATTCCTGGACTGAACTCCTCGAGCCCGGCTTTGGCACATATCCTCCACTGTCCCCTCCGCCTGGGTCTGCACTCTGCACCCCACCACATCCTATTCATAGGCCAAGGCTGGAGATAGGGTTCTGGAATATACCTTTTCAGTCCTGATTCACAACTAGGCCACCTGGTCAACGGCAGGGCAGAGAGGCCCTGCCTGCATGTGTTTGTGACAATGACCAAGCACCGTCTCATGTTCCCCACGGTCGATCAGTGAGGACAGGGGTGTTATGTTAGGTGCAGTGGGTTCAATGGTTACTTTAACGGTCAGTTGCACACTCAGCCTCTGAATTTCACATTACCTGACTCACAGGAATGCCTGTTCTTTTGATGGCTAAAATTAGAGTAATCCCTCACAGGATAACAGTAGATTATGTCACTGACACTATCTACCCTGTCCAGAGGGTCTCCTATCTGCTGCTCTGCATGGATCAAGTCATGACATAACATGAGGCGTGAGAAAGTCAAGACACACATACTTTACCTAAATTGGAAGAAATGAAGCCTGGGTAGATTTGTGTGTACAGACAAAGATGTCAGACTGGTACGCAGGCTGAAGAGGCTAAAATAAGTCTTAATGTCTGAGTTTTGCCAGGATCAGCCACAGGTAAAATATTGTCTCTGGAGTCTATATCTGAGGATACATACAAATATTTTAGATATTGTGACAGCATTTAACAGAGACTGTGTTGTGCCTTGGTTTTTCTCACTGGCATATAGTTAAATGCACTGCTCCAGGATCACTTAATGGGGTCGATGACCCTTTCAGAAGAGGGAAGCTGCTTGCTACAGCGCTCTGCGGAGGCGAGGACTCTCTTATGTAAAGCTCACACTTTGAACAAGACATGAAAAGAGGGAGATAACGATGTCTGTCCAACAAGATTCAGTAATTGCTTGTTTCATCCCAACATCCGGCTAGACGGATATACAACACATCCAGGTGTAGAAAATGAGAGATTATGATGCTGCAGTCTGGAGTCTGAGAGTGAAGTGACTGACTGTGGCTTGGCTACAAGACTGCCAATAAGAACTAACACTGCTGAAAACAACCATCACTATAGATTTCACTATAATCTGAATTGAGACAGATTTATTCTAATAAAGCCAGATGTCTAGCCATGATGTGACTCAGACTCAGTCTGCTGGATGTGCTTAGTGAGCAACAGTGATGGGATATCATTGTTTATCAGGGGAGATAAACGCGAGGAGCAACAGGATGTTGATCAGAGTGCCAGTTCTCTTTGGCAGTCCAACCAGGAGTTTATTTCAGCTTCTGGCAAAGCCTCAACTCTGAAGGGGATGGGAGGGGATGGGATGGGAGGGGAGGGGAGGGGAGGGGAGGGGAGGGGGAGGGGAGGGGAGGGGGGGAGGGGAGGTTTATTGGAGAAGAAAAATAGGGAGTTTAAAAGTCTTTCAGACTTTAAGGAAAGGCAAATTAAAGTAGACACTAATGAATGCACTTTTTGTATACTTTGATGGCTTCCTGTCAAACTCGTACCATTACCAATAAAGTATGTGCTCAGTGGTAACGAGATTCAGAATATATCGAATGTCCATGTTGCCAGGCAGCATCAACCCATTAAATGCATTTCTACAAACAGCCTCTAGGGGCAGCAACATTTCCTGATATCTCAGTGGTTCACGAAGTAGTCTATCTGACATCTCATTTTACTACATGAGGTATACATACTCTCTTCCTGAAATAAACCAAGCCTCCTTTCCTAATTTGGTCAGCCATGCTTAAATCAAAGTGCCCACATTAGACAAAACATCACGTAGTTGGCACCCAAGTAAAGCTTATCACTCAACATGACAACCGTATGTGCAAGATGTCAAGGCAATTACTGGCTACTCCCATTGCACTGCAGGCATTAGTTATTATGGCATTATAAGTTACTGTGAGTGGAAAAACTGTAGACGCTCACAGCAAATGAAAGGGGTGGTCTCACTTAGTCAGAGAGACAAACTTGCATAGCATAGCATAGCATTGCAGTACTGCTCCATCAAATAAGCCTACCTGAATAAAATGTGTTGATCTTCAAAAGCTCCTTCTCACAATTCTGAAAAAACTTCTCCTCAAACTTGGCGTAGTATCTCTTGACAGTGTCTTCATCTGTGACTGGAGAGGCAAAAAAGAGACGGAGAGAGAGAGAGGTCAGTTTTCAAAAAACATTCAACAAAAAAACATGATGTAACCAATGAAAAACAATTAATGGACACCCATCATTATGGACATTTTTTTTAAATTCATGCATATGGTAATTGTAGACCTAGGTGAATGTGACCATAGCTTGGAGCCAAACAGGTAGCCTATCAGTTTGGCTTATGATTACATTCACATCCTTTTTCAAGAGGATTCTCCTTCAACAAACAATGCTCTCATTCAGACCAGGGTACTGTATATCAAACCAAGACAGTGTACTGTTCAGCCCAGAAAGGTCACCAACACGCCCCTGCCTCTCTCGTTCCTCTGATGGTCATTAAATGTTGGGGACAAGCACAGTGGCACAGTTCTAAATAAGGACACCTTTAATTTGGTTCCTCTCCTCTCCTCTCCTCTCCTCTCCTCTCCTCTCCTCTCCTCTCCTCTCCTCTCCTCTCCTCTCCTCTCCTCTCCTCTCCTCTCCTCTCCTCTCCTCTCCTCTCCTCTCCTCTCCTCTCCCCTCCCGACTTCTTACTCTCTGTTGCTTTAATCTGTCAGTCATCCGGCACACAGAGTAACCCAACACCCCTATGAGTTGCCCGGGGGATTCCTTCCTCTGTCTTCATCCCATGTCCCCCCACCCCATCCCCATTAACCTTAGCCCAGCTTAGCCCACTGGCGTTCCAGTAAAGATAATAGCAGCCAAGAGGACCAGGGCCACAGGGAGCTGTCCCAAGCCACAGCTTAAAGTCTGACCATAGGTCCACAGCACAGGAGGTCCATAGGTCCACAGCTGTAGTTCTAATGATTTTATTTATAGTGACCACAAGTTCCACAACCCATCCGTCTATAACAGCTGGCAATATTTGACTGTGATCCTGAGAGTAGAGATTCATAGTGTAAGAGACAGGCCTTGTCTTCTGGGACTGAGAAAGACAGAGACAAAGAGGATCTGCACACTGAGAGAACGTGCATCTTTTTATCCTCCCTCTGCTACTAAAATACTTGTTATTTTTCAATGACTATTCATCACGATCACTCTCTTATCAATGTTAGCCTGGCCAGACTTGCTAGTTGACACCAGTACTGATACATCATTGATGTTCTATCTAAATGTCACAGCCAGGGATATAGCACACACCATCCATCACACTATCTCCGCTAAATGTTTGTGCAAGAGTGAGGTTATAATAGAAATGTTAGCTAACCTATCATATGAAATGGCCCTTTAATGCAAGTTGAAACCTTTAGATGGAGAGGCATTCAATTCTGTTCTTAGTAATAACAAAAAGATGCCTAAGGCTGTGTAGGCTGTCAATATCCCTGCTCTATTCACCTGCATGCAGAGTGAGAATGCAGGGAGAGACTGTGAATGTGTTCAGTAAAAGGCTGTGAAAATGTTCCTTGGAGTCAGTGAGCCAGTCAAGCGATGTGCAGCTTTACATAAAAAAATTGAAAAACGTTATATATATATAATTTATGAATTGAATCATGTAAAGGACTTTATATGATGAACCACTCCCATAGTACTGGGGATATGTGTCCCCTTACTGCAGTTCAGCCTAACCTCATGAGAGAAGCATCTTGCAGTCCTAATTAAACATCAAAAACAACATCATCATTGAACAAAAGGAAAACAACAACAGCTCAACTTTCTGAACTGAGACAGAACATAAACAGGGACTGAGATGACCTTTAACTTATCATCTTCACTGGGTCAGTGTGAGAGAGAGAGAGAGAGAGAGAGAGACAGAGAGAGAGAGAGAGCGAGATCAGAATATGTGTGCTGTAAAACAGCTGGCATCAGTGGGTCATAGCCAGTGTTGAGTGGAGGAGGTCAGGAGGGTGTGTGAGTGCCCTACAGTGTATACCACACAGCTCATCCCCTCCTGTCTGGAATAGAGGAGAGGAGGATGAGAGGAGGATGAGAGGAGGATGAGAGGAGGAGGAGAGGAGGATGAGAGGAGGATGAGAGGAGGAGGAGAGGAGGATGAGAGGAGGATGAGAGGAGGAGGAGAGGAGGATGAGAGGAGGAGGAGAGGAGGATGAGAGGAGGAGGAGAGGAGGATGAGAGGAGGAGGAGAGGAGGATGAGAGGAGGATGAGAGGAGGAGGAGAGGCAGCAGCTAGCTATCTGCATGAGGAATGAGGAATGGATGTACTCTCTGTCTATGCTTCTGAAAGCATTTCTGCCTCACTTCCTAATTCCACTGCAGTCACAATACACTTTGGACCAGGGCATATCATGGGAGAGTTTAGCCATTTTACATCGGCTGGCTGGCTGCCAGTCCCCCCAGCACAGACTGGGATAAGTTTAGAGAACAAGCCTGTGAGAACAGAGCACTGCAATACTGCTGCAAAACAAGGTCAAAAACAAGATCCCAAAGGAAGAGGTCATAGAACACTGGGAACCAGTCTACATGAAAACAAGGGGGAGGGGGACGGGGGAAGAGGGGGATGACAAGGAAGAAAGATAAATAATAGGGATGTGGACTTTGGATGAAATGATCCTAGTTGATGTTATGAGAGGAAATGGAGGAGATGAAAGCCTAGAGAGAAAGGTAGGGAGAGGGCCCTGGAGTGACCCCTGACCCCTACCTCCCCCCGCTGAAGCTCTACTGAGGAGGCCTGCTGGTCCCCAGGAGACTGTGTCTGTGTGTATGCGTGCATGTGTGGATGCGTGTGTGCATATGTGTGTGTGGATGTGTGTGTGTGGATGTGTGAATGTGTGTGTGTGGATGTGTGTGTTGATGTGTGTGTGCATATGTGTGTGGTGTGTGAGAACAAAGGAGGGAGAGGCAGCGCTGCTTTGAAACAGCCCCATCCCTGCAGCTATACATTGAGTATGCACCTGGTGTCCGATGCAAAAACGTCTCTATAACCAACACTCCAGCCTCATTTGCTTTACCTCAACCTTACTCAAATTTGCATGAATCAACATAATTAGGCTCACAGTTAGAGTAAAGTGCAAAAAAATTATTTTCAACCAAAATGACGGATAGAAATGAACAGCTCAACTGCAGAGGAGAAAAGACTCAAACGAGTGAAATCATAATGGTATATAGTGTGTTTATTCTCATTTATCAAAGATGTCTGTATTTATCTGAATTCAATGTCTTCTCTCTCTCACTGTATGGGGCCTCATTATTGCACCACTGGAGACAGCCAAGCCCACTCATAGTCCAAAGGTACTGTCCTCCCCAGTGTCCCTCTGACAGGCAGCTCTGGAGGGCCTCCCCCTGAGCTCATTATCCTCAGAGTGGTACTGTGGCATAGCTTACAGCCAACATCCCTCAGGGGAACCAGCCCAGCCCACTACTGCCCCAACCAGCACTCTGCTACAAAGACCCAGAGCCACAAAGAACAAACAGGCTGGGCCACACCAAAGCTGTCTCCACCAGCCGTCACTAAATGGCTTCCTGCAGCAGTATCTGCCCTGACATTACAGGGATGAGTGAGCGCTTAGGTGGATATGTGTGTGTGTGTGTGTGTGTGTGTGTGTGTGTGTGTGTGTGTGTGTGTGTGTATGTGTGTGTGTGTGTGTGCGTGCGTGTGTGCATGCATGTGTAAGTGTGTGACGCAGGCAGTAGGATGATGATGAAATGCCTCCTAGGAGAGTAGTAGTTCTGTCCCTGGGGGCTCTGGGTGAAGATGGATGCTCTGGCTGCCTCATCTTGTGCTGTGTTTGATAGTGTTGTTGTACATCAGTATTTTACCTCTCTGTCAGCACTGAGCAGGGTCCTACTCTTTCTTTTGAGGTGAGCTCCTTGATGTTTTGTCTATATAGTGACATGATGGAGCTATGAGGTTGGTAACCTTTTACTCATGACAGAGTGTCTCATGGAAGACAGGCTGGGTAAGTGGTCGTTTTTAAGTTTTTCTTCATGGTTTCCTAGTTTGATTTGTTTCAGTAGGTACTGGGTATAGCGAGCCTAAAAATTAAGCTTTCAGTTTGATTAAGATGTGTTAACAAGCGCTGCATATCATGGACATTTCCTGTAAGTGCCTGAAGCGGATGGGGTATGCACCACAGTCCTGGTACAGAGGGGCTTCCCAGCATGGCCTACATACAGCCATTGCCACCATGTTTCAATCCGTCAACTGGTGACGCTCATGGCAGTCACAGGAGGGACGTGAGAAAAGCTTAAGTGCTTTAGAGCAGCTAGGAAAAGAAAGTCACTTTATTATTCTGTAGTAGAGTGTTTGTGAGTGTTTGTGTGCGCACAAGGATGCATGTGTTTTTTAATATACAGTGCGATCCGTAATTATTGGGACAGTGGAGCTCTATACTCCAAAAGCAAAAGTATTGGGACAAATTCACTTATATGTTAATTAAAGTAGTAAAAAGTATTTGTTCCCATATTCATAGCACGCAATGACTACATCAAGCTTGGGACTCTACACATTTGTTGGATGCATTTGCTGTTAGTTTTGGTTGTGTTTCAGATTATTTTGTGCACAATAGAAATGAATGGTAAATAACGTAGTGTTTTTTTAGATTCACTTTAATTGTAAATAAGAATAGAATATGTTTCGAAACAATTCTACATGAATGTGGATGCTACCATGATTATGGATAATCCTGAATGAATCGCAAATAATGATGAGTGAGAAAGTTACAGACCCACAAAGCCAGCCACACCAATGTGCCGGAGGAAACACCGTTCAACTGACGACTGAGGTCAGCCTGCAGGTGCCCGGCCCGCCACAAGGCGTCGCTGGAGCGTGATGAGCCAAGTAAAGCCCCCCCGGCCAAACCCTCCCCTAACCCGGACATCGCTGGGCCAATTGTGCACCGCCCTATGGGACACCCGGGTACAGCCGGTTGTGACACGGCCTGGGAACAAACCCGGGTCTGTAGTGACGCCTCAAGCACTGCGATGCAGTGCCTCAGATCGCTGCGCCACTCGGGAGGCCCAACTTTTTCCTACTTTAATGAATATGTCCCAATACTAAAATGGGGGGACTATGTACAAAAGGTGCTGTAATTTCTAAACGGTTCACCCAATATGGGTGAAAATACCCTCAAATGAAAGCTGACAGTCTGCATTTCTGCACAGTCTAACCTCATATTAATTGTATCATTTCAAATCCAAACTTTTGACGTATAGAGCCAAAATAATAAAAAGGGCACTGTACATCTAATAGAAACAGGATCTAAACCTACACAAACCATTAGCAGCCAGTTTTATAAAGCCATGATTAATCCTATGTGTATTCACTGGTTCCCAGTGCTCCTGTACGATGAGGTTCAGCACTATGGACAGCTCTTGCTCAGCTGCTATCAGTGATGCCCAGTCCAGTGGGGAACACCTCCTTGGCTGTTACTGGAGGAAGCAATACCATATTAGTCTACCTCATGAGAAACCAATACAACAATAGGACTGCAACCATAAATCCCCTCTAAAGCCTTTGATATCCTCTTGACCTTTATGCAGGTCAAAAGTGAGAGAAATAAGGGGATCTGAATAAAATGTTCTATATCTGAAGACAAATGACTAAACTTACTGCCTACATTCTGTTCATTCAAGGCCTTCTCTCAGAAAAACAATCTGGGCTTCTC